GTCTGAATTGAATATTTACATCATTTTTGTTGTAAAAAATTAAAGCAAATCAAAAAACCAAAGAAATAAATAAAATAATTGAAAAAAAAAACTTAACATACAAATCTATATTATAATTAGTACCTACTCGGTACTACCTAGTAGTACTAGGCAGTGGTGGCCCAGTGGTAACGCGCTCGCTTGGGAAACCGAGTGAAGTGAGTTCAAATCCCTTGTCTTGCACCTCTGAATATATACCTATACCTATATGTAGATACATATATCATAGTTCTATTTGTATTACCCAAGTAGAAGATATATCAAGAAAATGTGTGTTAAATAACTTATGACAATATAATGTAAGAAGTTTGAAAACGACTTCGAGTTTCATAATTAACTACAGTTAGCGTGCAGACGGTACGTTTGTAACTCACAAATGCTACCATACTTTTACAAGGGTAATTTTACGAGTTATTTGGATTTACTATTCATTTGCTGTTTAAAAACATATATACATACATAAGATTTTCCGTGATTTCGCAGAGATAAATTATTTTCTGTAAGTAAAAATCAATTAATACAATGATTTCATATTTATGAAAGCTCTCGTGTGATATTTATATACCATTAGATCTACAAACAATAATTGCAGAGTTTGAAAGCTCCTACATCTAAAAAGGGTTAATCTTAAAAATCCAAAAAGTCCTAAAAAGTCCTTTTGACATGTGATAAAAAACATATACTATATAAAAATATTTTATTTTATTGAATTAACTTAGATATTATTTTAATTATTTTAAACTTTGAAATATTCATTTTTTAACGATCTTCTATAATATAAAAATGAATCGCTGAATGTGTTGGTAAGCGCAAACCTCGAGAGCAGCTGAACCGATTTCGCTAATTCTTTTTTTAGAATATTCCTTGAAGTACGAGGATGGTTCTTACGGAGAGAAAAATTTCTAATATCTAATGAAAAAGTAAAGTAAATAAAATCTAATGAAAAAGTCTAAAAACAACACTTTTCTATACTAAAAATATTTTAATAAATATTTAAAAGAACACTTTTCTATACTATTAAGTAATACTTAAAAGTCAATTTGAACTTTAAAACCATAACATAAAGTTTAAGTGTTAGTGGAGAGGTTCCGGGAAGGCAAAACAATTGAGTAACGTTATTATTGTATAAATATTAATGTCAATATTTGTCAATATTATTAACAAAAAAAATTAAAATGTATATGGCTAACGCTGGGTAATAACTATTTATATTTATTTAAAACGTACCTAGCGACGAACCCGAGCGAAGAAAGGGTGAGCCGCTAGTATCTTTATATAATTTGACTATTTTTTAAGTGAAAACTAAAAAGGTACGTTGGGCATTTTTGGGATGGGGGAAAAAGCACTGAACTCGCGTGACGTCACGCTTAGATACATAGTGACGCTAAAGTGACAGAGACATGTGTAAGCGAGACAGTATTATACAGATAATAATCATTCTTTTTCATGTAAAACAGCACAATAAATGAAAATTTTATTACTATATTAATAATACGTTGATAAAAATAATGTATAATAAAAAATACTTCCTAAAAAATATTTGTTAACAACCCAAAAATAATGCTTACAAGTTTGTGAAGCTAAGAAGTATACATTATCTGTAACAATGAGTGCGATGGGAATTTCAATATTAAAACAATCTTAAAAATCAATTTCTATATTAAACTAACTTCAAACGAACATCCATAATTGCATTTCCTGTTTAAGTAAAGCCAATGAAAACTTGTTTATGTGATATTTTCAACATCACCCTTCCAATTTTAATTTTACTTTTCGAAAAAATAGATACTTAGTAGTTTATGACCTGAATACCTTTAAAGGCAACCACAGAGCCGACAATCCGAAATAATTATGTCGCAAACGAATTACATTCGGCAAAGGAAGCACGATAATAGCCGAATCCATTCTGGCGGGATTGCTACGCCCCTTTGCATATATAGCACCGAAAATGAAAGATCGCTGTAAAAAATGAAATGGAACCGTGGCTGTGGTAACTGAAAAAGACTGATTGTACACATAGAGTGATGCTTTTTATGTCAAATGTGCTACGGGGTTTTGGCCAAAAAATTTTTTTAATGATATCATTTTTGCAAAACTTTCTCTTAATAATAACAAAAGTGTCCGGTAAAAAATGATTCGATACATATTTGTTTACTTTCTTATTTGCTATTGATATTATAAACGCGAAAGTTTGTAAGAATGTATGTATGTTTGTTACTCTTTCACGCCAGAACGGCTGAACGGATCTGAATAAAATTTGGTACAGAGATGGATTATAGTCTGGAATAACACATAGGCTACTTTTTATCCCGGAAAAATATACGATTCCCGAGGGATAGATTTGTTATTATTTCTCTAGAGGCGAACTCGAGCGAAGCGATAGTGAGACGCTAGTTTTTAACAATGTAGGTAGGGTGTATTGATAATATAAGAGTACAAATCTTAAGCAAACTAAATATCAACACTAGGGAGAATTTTACAATATTGGTGTCTAAATAAAAGAACAGTATTTTATTATATAGCCTCTTCCATATAATTGAAGTGTTGTAGCATTACGTAATTATGTTATAATAGGTTTAACTAGAAAACGTTCTCAAGTGATTTTAACACAACACTTATTCTACTTAACAAAAGAGTTATTAGTTAGAGCATCATAGAATTAAACCAACATAATCTATACATATAATAAAACAGTAACTTAGCGAAATTACTGGTGTCAACATTTAGGATACCTTTTACTGTAGGAAAATCTTTCATTCCCACGGGAAAACACAATAATTGGTTCTATTGAGTCGTCCTTAGAAATGTATATGGCTAACACTGACGAGAAGAATATATCAAAACAGTGTACTAGAAAATTGTAGGTTTTAAAAAGGCCTACAAAAAAGTCTCCAATAGCATATACACTATACATATCCACCTCCTAAAGTACATTGGCAATAACTATTCAGATATAGATTTTAAATATTTTTTATTTTATTTATTTTTTAAATAATTTTAAATAGTTAAAACGCAACTAGGAACGAGGGTAAGTCACTAACCTCTAATATTTATATAATCAGTGTCAGTCTTCAAAATACCCACTTAAAGTACCATTACATTGGACGGGAAAGCTCGACCTTAGTAAAAAAAAGTTTATTTAACATTTAACGTTTATCATATTTTCTTCAATTCGACAAAGTGGTTATATTTTAATTTAAATGACCAAAGGTGAGGAAAAAATTAAACATTACGCGCCTTTCAACCAACACTCGAGGTAATTTGTAAAACACTTGAGTAATCTTTTGTTTTTTCCTCAAACATTTTTCTACTGAAATAAACAAAAGAAATCTAACATAATTAGATCATTATTTTTTGTACTTCTTTTGTATTTATAATAAGTAATGATTGACGGTAATTGTTTTTTCATTACATTTTATTTCTACAAAGGTATAATTTTTTTCTAATAAAATATAACAACAATAAATAAAAACATCATCAATCAAAATGAAAACTTCTTAATTTGACCAACTGCTAAAAAAACGAAACAAACTTGTAAAATTCTTGTTTTAAAATATTTTAAATCATAGGTATAATTAAATAACTTGAAATCTTATATTAAGTACTAAAGTTATATTATAATTTATAATGCTTTATCAAACCACCTCGTTTTATCATTAAATAGAACGTGACTAGATAATTAATTAACCTCTGTGATTAAGATACACATGATGCCTTTACAATGTGCCTAAATAAATAATGTTGCTACGTGTAATATTTTAACACATTTCCTAAAACTACAGATAATATTTGTGTTTTTGTGTTTTTAGTTCCTTACGCTGAATTGGCTCCATGGGTTTAGGTAAAATTTTACGTATAATATTTTAACACAATTCCTAAAATTACAGATAACATTTGTGTTTTTGTGTTTTAGTGCCTCAATTGGGACAATGGGTTTATGTGAAATTTCAAATGAATATAGCTTTATATCGTCGATTAACACGCTTTTTTTATCAGCGCTCCTACAATGCTAGCAGAACCGTAGGCAACAACTAGTGCTAAACATTTCAAAATATATACACACTTATACTTTTAAGAATTATTTATGTACCTCAAATATATATATATATATATATATATATATATATATATATATATATAACTTATATTGTCAATTCAAAATGAGTTGAAAACACGTCTGAAGAAAGCACAAAAAAATGAATATTAGTAGCGGTTACTTGTACCAATTACTTAATTTCATTTAAAGACATTTAAATCAAATCAAGAATTTTCGTGAAAGCACCTAAGGCTCTATAAATAATTATTTTAACATAAGCTACATACAAGGTTCTTTTTAATCTTCCTTAAGTAAGTTTATCTTTTAAATGTACAAATAAGATCCTGGAAACGTTTTAAAAATGTATTAGCATTAGATTTTACGTGAATCTACATAATTTACTGTAAAGCAGATGTTAGTACTTATGCGGAATTAACATAATAAAGGTACAACTCTCCTTAAGCGCTTGTACGAAAAGCAGATCTTAGAGATTTTAGGAACATGTATCCGTTTATGTTAAATATAACTATTAGCAGTTTTAACTATATCCTGCCTGCGATTTCTTATGTATTATTATCCATACTAATATTATAAATGTGAAAGTGTGTTTTTTTGTTTGTCCTTCTTTCACGTCGAAACGGAGTGTCTGATAAGCGTGATTTTTTGTGTGGAGGAAATTGGAAGGCTGGGGAGTGACATAAGCTACTTTTTAGCGCGGAAGATTATCTAATTCCCACGGGAAAACACGTTATAATATAACCCAAAAAACATATTCATGATCAGAATTACTTGAAATTTGGTAATAATGTTCTTCAATAAAATTAATAGTGCTGCCCTCTACATTTCGTGCACGGTCCCCATAACACCTTTATAATTTAAAAGCTAGATGTTATTATCTTAAACTAGAAATATAGAAAAGGTTCAAATGGCGTTGCATTGTGAGGTTTTTTCCAGTACACTTTTATGTCAATTTTTAGTATTTCGAATTTAAAAATACGGTAGGTACTGCTGTATAAAATTTCCTATTAAAATTACCAGGTTATTATTTATTGTAGAAAAAGCATTATGACAAGCTAAAATTTTTAGCATTAATTTATAAACTACTCAAGTCCAAACGTATTTTAACTCCACAAAGAAATTCTTAGAGTCTTTACTATTAAACCAAGAGTGCTTTAAAGTAAGTTATATTTTATCATAATATTTTCTTTCCAGGTCCAAAGTCCAGTATTAGTCGTAGAGCTGACCCTCAACAGGCTAGAAGGTACACAGCTAAGAGCCCTCGGCTTACTGTCTGTGTTTGGGTTCAACATGACGTACGTAGTGAAGGCGCCCACTACTTCACCGGAACCGACCTCTTGCAGCGCGATAGAGTGCCGACTGCTCGGGCATTGTTATGCCAAATATGATTATAAGTAAGTTTTATTTGCTTAATCTACCGCCCAAGTTCCAAAATAGATAGTTGTAAAACAGTATAAAATTAATTATTAATAGATTTTCATTGTTGTGATAAGTAAATATATGTTAATAAATAAAAATAGCTAACGGATATTATTATAATAAAAAAAATACCTTATAATACATACTATACTTCTATTATATCTCTCTTTTAAGGAGAAGAGAATTAATGCTTGAATTAAAAATACAAAAGAATATATTATTATTTTTATTTTCTACTCAAAAATTGTAAATTACCGTCTAAACTCTAAACTTATAGTAAATAATTTTCTTTATTATTTAAATAAAGTTAATCTGTATGGCAATATTAAGAACTAACGTAGCATAAGCAAAGTCACGCTACTATTTTTTAAGTTTTTTTGCGGGCTCTGTCTATACAATTTTTTAGTCTATCATTTTATATATATAAAAATGTATCCCTGTTTCCCTTGGTCACGCCATCACGCGTGAACGGCTGGACCGATTTAACTATTTTTTTATTGTGTTTGTTATTGTCAGGAGAAGGTTCTTATGAAAGAAAAAAATTATAAAATTGGGCGGAAAATTATAAAATTTAAGAATACTTATTTAAGAATACTTAACAACCATATTAAAATTTACCATACCAACCATATTGAAATTATATACGTTACTTATAAGAAAAACACATTTTTTTTATTTTTGTCTGTCAGTTTGTCTATCTGTCTATCTGTTTGTTCCAGATAATCTCTGAAACGGCTGGACTGATTTTGACCGGACTTTCACTGGAAGATAACTGATGTTATATAGTAACAAAGGCTACTTTTATTTTAGCAAAAGAATTAGAGTTCCGGTCAAAAAATTAAAACGTACCTAGGGACGAACCCGAGCGAAGCGAGGGTGAGCAGCTAGTTTTAAATAAAACTATCTTTTCGGATTATTTCGCGGATTTATTTTGATTTTTGGTTCCCGACGTTTCGAATGCTTTACAACATCCATGGTCACCGGAGAGACTGAGGTGATGGACGTCTCAAAGGCGATATACACTTGTTACAGTGACAGTGCCTACCCATTATTTTACAAAAATAAATAAGAAAGTATTCTCTGAGTCTGTCAATTAAATATAACTTGCAATAGTAATAACATACATGTATATTTAAAGATATTTATTTATATATTTAACTGTTTTTTGTATCTACCAATCTAATTTAAAACATTCTCATTACAATTTATTACTTATTTATTGAGAAAAGTTATGGGCTACTTGATATCACGCAACGACCCTTGACAGTGAAACAACAAATACGCATACGTATTATGAACACGTATGCGTACGCAAAATACACGGTAGATAGTCTTAGAATTTAGAACATTTTATATCGACGTACCTACATAAGAGTTTTTAGAAAAAAAAATTGACATTCATTATATAACAAAAATATAATATATTCGTAATATGTTAAATATTTTAAAAAATAGAGGAACTTATTTTTATTACGATTCAAAGTAATTCATTATTTTAATTGAATATTCGTATTACATTGCAATAGAAGAATATATGTTTTTTTAAATATATGAACTCGCTCGGTTTCGTCCCTAGGTACGTTTTAATTTTTTGACCGGAACCCTAATTCTTTTGCTAAAATAAAAGTAGCCTATGTTACTATATAACATCAGCTATCTTCCAGTGAAAGTCCGGTCAAAATCAGTCCAGCCGTTTCAGAGATTATCTGGACAGACTGACAGACACAGAGAAAAATTAAAAAAATGTGTTTTTTTATAAGTAACGTATATAATTTCATATGCATTTGATTAAACGCTGTTATTTGGACATTACAAACAGACACTTCAATTTTATTTATCTGTATAGATGAAAACGAGAGAGCAATGACAAAAATCCGCGTAGTCGCTGAGATAGGCCATCGTAATTAAAAATCAGTCAAGGGAAAAGGGTGCGGGTACATATAGATATCTAGAGGAGCTGAGAATTAATCTTAAAAAATTATGTGATTGGAATATCAAATGTACGCATTGCAAAATTTAAATATTAAAGAACTATATGTATATTAAAAACATTAATATCGTAAGTCTGACACTCCAAAATATTTTCCAAACCAAAAATGACTTCATGAGGCCACTGCCTCTTTCAAAGGAGGATTAAACTTAATATATTCATGATTCCTTCAATCTAAAGCGAAATCCAATTTCAGATTTCAGCGTAAATTATCAAGCAAATGAACGAATACAATTAGTATTATCAGGAATTAACGTATAACGATTATATTACGAGCAGTACCAATTCACATGTTTTCATCTGGTAAATGTTTTTCGACATATTGTTCAAAAACATATCCAAGAGTAATGATAGCTTGCCTATAAACGGACTGCGAAAGTTTTGTGTTGTGCGTGCGTGTGTATGTGTGTGTGTGTGTGTGTCTGCGTGTGTGCATGTGTATGTACATGTGTGTGTGTGCGTGTGTGCGTGTGCTTGTGCGTTGCGTCTGTCACACATATGAGATGATAATGATCATGAGAGATCTCTTCCACACTCAAACAGCTGAACGCATTTGGGTGAAGTTTAAAACAGATATGGCCTAGGACAAAACATTGTTAGCAATGTTAGCAATAGCAACAAAATATTGACAAATGGTATCGATGGTGATGGCCGAGTAATTCAGCTTTAAATTAACTGAGCTTTTTAAACAAACCACATTTGAATTTATATGTTTCAACTATTATTTTATTTAAATTTATTTTGATAAATTTACGTTTTCATAATGTGGATAAGCTGTTGACACGTTATTGCGTTTTGGCTGGCAATTTCCCTGTGTTGCCACTATCATATGGAATTTAATCTGAATGTAAACAATAGTGCAACCACGTATTTATATGAATCCACAAAACATTTAATTAATGTATTTTCAAGTAGAAGTTGGCGCACTCGCTCGTTAGAACTCATTTACTCGCCACATTACTATAGTCAAGCTAAATTAACTACCATGCTTTAAAGATGTTTCTAATTTGGGAGACAAATTTGCTACTTCGGCCGTAAGTTGACTTCAATTATCTCTTGTAAATTAGTATCATCTTACAAAACGATAGGCTTAACATTAATTAAATTTAAAAGTATTGCCTACAAGTTAAAACATTACTTATTTTGTCGAATATCTTCAATTACTTCAATAAAATTAATTAAATTAAAACAAAGTAGCAATTAAGTTAAACGACATGAGATTTTAAACAAAGAATTAATATTATTTATACATATAATAAAATTGTAACTAAGCCAAATCTGTACAATAAATATTTTTTGGAAAATCTTATTGAAATAGACATTAGTATCGATACAGAGGCCGATTCTATAGTTTTTAGAATTTATGTCTATCTATCTGTCTGTCTGTCTTTTATCGCATCACGAAAAAACCACTGGAGGGATTTTGATGAAGTTGGGTATGAAGCTGGTTATCTGGGTCAACATATAGGATACTTTTTATCGCGGGAAAATATCTCATTCCTGAGAAAAAATACAAAAACTGCATTGTAACAGTATACTAATATGTAAAACCTAAGAATTTGGTTTTTGGTCATCTGAACGCTAAATGCTAGTCTATAATATATGTACATATATAACAATTGGATTTGGAGAACTTGGGAAACCAAGTGAAGCGGGTTCAAATCCACTTGGTCAGCTTCGCGGACTATGGCCTTATCCTCCTCGTATTGAAGAGATGGCCATGTCTAGCAGTAGAACGTTACATAAGGGCTAAATACAATTAACTACTACAAAATTTAAAGCAGTTATTAAAATATTAAATATATTACACATTTAATAAAATATTAAATATGTTACTTTAAATGTGAATAATACTTACATAAAAAATATAAGTTCATGTAATTTCTGTAACTCTAATAAACTAAATATTCCATACAAAGCGAACTCAAGCAATTCTATTACTGACATAACTTTTTCTTTTCAGGGAGTTTTACTGTGCGTGTTTCGAAGGCTACTCCGGCGCTGACTGCGGGGTAGGCCCTTTGTGCCCGAGGACACCCAACATGTGTAAAAACGGTGGAACTTGCCGGTAAGCAGGACCCATGTCAAACCTTTCCAGTGAGACAGGTGTTTTGATTAATTAAATTTGAATTGCTCGGTCTGTATCTTAACATAATTTATATGTTTAAGTTCAGATTTAGCATTTAATTTAGTGCTGGTTCGGTAGCTAATTAATAGGTAAAGATTTTGCATATTATGTATTTATAATGCAATATAATAAAATAGGTTTTATAATAATGGATAATGATTAATTATAATTATATTTAATTCTCACATACACTTCGTCGGGTGTTTTATAATAACTTTTTAAACGGCGAAACGCTTCTAATTATAAGAATTCTGCACTCAAAATTTTACACGGATTCTTTCCGCCATTGATGAATCAGCTAGAGCAATATATTATTTTATTAAATGTTATCATTAAAATACGTTCATTCTTGACTAGCTCTTTTTAAATTATGTTCATTCAAATGGGCTTGTACAAGTATACCTAATTAAATAAAGTATATTACAATTTAATTAGGTTTGACAAAAAAGTATTTAATTTATTTTATTTCATTCATTCATTAATATTATTTTGTTATATGTATAGTATATTATAAAATATATATTATTAAACAAAGTTCTCCGCCACGTCTGTCTGTTCGCGATAAACTCAAAAACTACTGCACCGATTTTCATGCTATTTTCACTAATAGACAGAATGGTTCTTGAGGAAGGTTTTAGTATATAATTTGTTAAGTTTTTGTATACATTGGCTAAAATATAACGATATTTGTTGGTGTCGAAAAAAAATCAGTCTGGGAGTTTTCAACGAAAACGCTGCCTACACCTTTTGAGATATAAAAAATAATGTATAATGGAATTGTAAATCTTATATAGGTCTACAGAAAAGTCCACGATGACATATGTCTATCTCTTAAGGATAACATACTATATCCGTTTTAATTTAAAACGTACCCAGGGACGAACCCGAGCGAAGCGAAGGTGAGTCGCTGGTAGTATACATATAGACTTTGAAATCAATTTTTTACATGTATAGTATATCACTACATATTATAAAACAAAGTTCTCCGCCACGTCTGTCTGTCTGCTCGCGATAAACTCAAAAACTACTGCACCGATTTTCATGCTATTTTCACAAATAGACAGAATGGTTCTCGAGGAAGGTTTTAGTATATAAATTGTTAAGTTTTTGTATATATTGACTAAAATATAACGATATTTTTTGGAGGTGTCGAAAAAAAGCAGTCTGGGAGCTTTAAACAAAAACGCTGCCTAAACTAAACCCTTTCAGATATAACAAAATAATGTATAGTGGAATTGTGTATCTTATATAGGTCTACAGAAAAGTCCGCGATGGCATATGTCTATCTCTTAAGGATAACATACTATATCCATTTTAATTTAAAACGTCACTAGTGACGAACCCGAGTGAAGCGAAGGTGAGTCGCTGGTAGTATATAGACTTTAAATTCAATTTTTTACGTATATGAGTAGGACCATTTTATACGAACATTCTGAATTGTAACCTACATATATACCTAAAATTTAAACACTAAACCTTACAACAATGTTTCAGAAAAAACAAACAAATAATACTTTACAAGTCTTTTCTTTCATACAATTAAAACAGTTTGCGCGATCCATCCAAAAGAGGTCACAACTCACATTCTAAGTCCTCGCAATTTCCTTGCGATAACGAGTTCAACGTCGCCAACGATGGATCTCCCTCGATATTTAGTGCGAGAAAGTTTCTGTTGACACAACAGTATTTATGTAATGAATATTTATTTTTCTCCTGGGTTTTTCATGTAAATCATATTTTAAGTAAAACCGTAATTCACTAAACTTTGTAGAGAAATATCATATGAATATATAATTTATGCGTGTAGTAAAGTTTTTGGCTAACAATGAATCTGAAATATCGATATTGAATTTAATTTTTTAAACAATTCTGTATTTAAATATATTATCTATATTTCATTATTTTTATATATCTCTTTGTTCTTCAGTTTTTTTTTTAAGCTTAAAAATTCTTTCGCACGTATAATGAATGATTCTCATTATGTCTAAGAAAGTGGGTTGGTTTAATGACAGTGGTAGCTCAGTGGTAACGCACTCGCTTGGGAAACCGAGTGAAGCGGATTCAAATCCTGGGTCTCGCGCCTCTCATTTTTCATATGCGAATCATTTCCAACATGATTACTACTTGTCTTACGGTAAAGGAAAACATCGTAAGGAAACCTGCATGTCTGAGAAAACCTAGCAAGTTTTCGAAAGACATGTGAAGTCCGCCTACACGCACTTAGCCAGTATGGTAGACTACGGCCTGATCCCCTTCGCAGTGATGGGAGGACTGTGCCTAGCCGTGGGACGTTAAAAAAAGAGCTGAATACACGCACAAGTAGGTTTAATTTTCCTCCCATAATAAATACATGTATTGCGCATAAAATATTTAGATTTAGGAAAACAAAACAAACCTATCCCACGGGAACTGTACATTATTCCGGGATAAGAAGTAGCCTATGTGCTACTCCAGACTATAATCTATCTCTGTGCAAAATTTCATCCACTACCGTGGACCGTTCTGGCGTGAAAGAGTAACAAACATCCATACAAACTCTCACATTTATAATATTAATAGGGATGCTAGTTATATGTTAGGTAAATTAATTAGTAATAATAATTTGAAAACGTCTTACAAATACAGTTTTATTAAGTCTAGTCCAAATAACTAATCAGAATAATTAATCAAACAAAATAAAAGGTAGTTTCCCCCTTAAGGGTCACAAATATTTAAAAAAAAATCACCAAACCTAAGGTGGCATAATTTCTTTATAGAGTTGAAGTCACTATTTTTTAGTTACTGTCGTCATCACAATTTGAAAGCCGTGGACCAAAACTAGTTAAAAATAATAACGGCCATTTCTCTCAAATAAAATGCTTTGATGCACATTGACACTCACAGAGTAGGTCGCATAATAAACGCTTTCAAACAGTTTGCCTGACGTAATGCATTTGCTGCGTGAAGTGCTCTCAGCACTGCGATAATAGCATCAATTTCCATACAATCTCGTGGCCCATGAATTATGTGCTAAATACGTGTGCAAGGCTGATAAATGTTCACTTGAGAGTACAGGGTTGTTGGTGCGCTTGAGAGACGATCATATCATTTGTCTCTTGTACATGACTATATACGAGTAATTATACCTGCAATGTTAATAAACAAAATATTTTTTTGTTACCAGTTTCTCCACTAAAGTTGCACATATAATTTGAAATCCGATGTTGTATCTAAGTTATATTAAACTAGCAGAACCCGCGGCTTCGCTCGCGCTAAAACTACAAAAAAAACTCTGATGAAAATGAAATGAAACCTACCGTTTCATACAAACTTTCATCCGCTATTTTACCACCTTATAGAATGAATTTTGAAAAATGCTAAAACACTTATTAAATTAATTGTATTGAAGAGCATTTATACCAAGTTTTAAGTAATTCTGATAATAAATATTTTATTGGATTGTATTATTACGTGTTTTTCTGTGGGAAAGATATAATCTCCCGCAATTAAAAGTAGTCTATGTCACCATGCCCAGCCCTCCAACTATCTCCACACAAAAAATCACACTAATCCGCCAAGCCGTTTCGACGTGAAAGACAAACAAACAAACACACTTTCACATTTATAATATTAGTATGGATAGTAAGACTATAGAACTGTGTAGACGGAGCCCGTCAAAAATATTGTTAAAGTCAAAGATAATTTCCAAAAAATGTTTGTATAGGAACAAAATCTGTTCAAATGAATTTCAAAGAGACTTTCATTGTTATATTAACACCTCCAGGTAAATTTCTAAAAAATTAATTAAAATTCTAAGAAATTTATTGTTAACTGATACGCCGGCGTGTCCGCGGTCGTGGAGGAATTAAATTTAGTAAGAATACACCAAGGTTTTCTTTAATCAAAAACAGCATAGATCACGTTTTCCATGAACATAACATGAATAAGCATATGACACCATCTCATTATAAGTAAACAATGACACCAGCTGAGTTAATACAGTTAGACGTATGACGTAAGGGATATATGAGATGAGCTTGCTAAAAGCTAAAAGCTACTGTCACTGTCCTTTCACACGATTAGCGCGCACGTCACGCAAAAAACATGGAACCTATTTCAATTGAAATTTTATTTTTAAGAATTGTTTGTTTTTTGTAACCATTTGACGACTTAGAGAGATAAGCAACATGTTCAAAAATTTTAATGTGCTAATCCATGTCATAAGACTCATACCAAATGTGTAATAAAAACTATTACGTTTGAAAGCTTTACAAATCTTTGCGAAAAAATATAAAAAAGCCAATATATTTAAATAACTTCAAGAAAAGCCTGAAAAATTATATAAAACTAGTACTGAAATTGTAGACTATTTATAATATTGTATTACCTATTTGAATTTCAAATATAAGTTAAAATTGTTCTTTTCTTGGGAAAACTGTTTTAACCTCTAACAGATAAAAGATATTAAAAAAGTTGATAATATGAAAACATAACATTCTGGCTTTTATTTGAAGCTTCGTATCTTTGAATATAAATAACAAACCGCTTATTTCCTCATAGACTAAATTTTACTCTTTAAGGAAAATATATTTTGGAAAGTATTAAATTAATAAAAATAAACAAAAGATATATATTAGGTACTACGTAATAAGACAATTCAGTACATATTTCGTTTGTTGTCAACAGATTTTCTTTTCTTTTGCTTAGTAGCTTTTGGCGAGCTTTAGTGCTATCAATACAAAAATTTGAGAAACAGTTAGTTTTTTATATAGATAGGATATAAAATTCTATTCATATATTTCAGTAATCTATACTAATACTATGAAGAGATAAAATTTGTGAGTTTATGAGCTTGTGAGTTTGTGACGTTGTAGGGGGTAATCTCTGGATCTACTGAACCGATTTAGATGAAATTTGGTAAAAACGTACTTTGAGGCCCTGAGAACGATAAAAAATACTTTTTATCCCGGAAATCGTCTCTTAAGCGGTTGAAAATGGGGATGAAAGTTTATATGGGAAATCAAGCTAAGGACGCTAGTGTTTATATATATGTAGTTAAATTTCGACTACTCTACAAACATATAAATCATCAGATTTGTTACAATACATTCGTTTTGTTTAATGGACTAGTTACTGGAGTAAGTAGTTTCGGATAGACCGATACTCGTTTGGCAATTTACATAAATTTTGTTTACGGCAGCTTTAGATACGAGTACATTAGGTAGTTTAATGGAGGTCAGATTGGATCTACTCCTATCGTAAGCTTAGGGAATATATGGGTAAATCTATATAATATTATAAATGATAAGTCTACTAATACCTAGTACAAATAATGCTGAAAGTTCTGAAATCCTGACGTTAGATTGGTAGTGCTTTAAATAGTTCATTGTTCACTTCCGGTATAAGATAGAAATAAAAAAATCACACGTAAATCTGATTTCTATTATAAATACGAATATTTGTGCGTATATGTGTTTGTAAGCTACTTTTTTTAATGGTTTATAGTAAACTAGCCACGTAACCTCTTTTCGCTCGTAGTCTCTCGTACTCCTAGTAGTAGTCTCGTGCTCGTAGTACTCTTTTCGCCTAGTAGAGTGACGTGGAGAAACAGTATTTTACTCCATGTCATATACTAAATTTCATTCAAATCCGTTCAACCGTTTCAGCACGAAGGAGCAACAAACATACATTATAGATAAATTAGTGTATATATATATATATATATACTATAATTAGTATTATATATATATATATAATATAATTAGTGTATATATATATATATATATATATATATATATATATATATATATATATATATATATATATTAGTACATTACAATACATTTCGCATGAATAATAGTATTCCGATATATGTATTTTATTGCTTATAGGCAAATGGGTCCGGCGGCGGTGAGCTGTATCTGCGCGCCGGGGTACACCGGCGATCTCTGCGAGTCGCAGATTGCAGCCCCCGGTAAGTATTGCAATTGGCAATAATTTGATATATATATATATTCGAATTAGTTGTGGTGTTCAAAAAAAGGATTTATCTGGTGTCTTCCAATACTACACGTTAGTTAAATATAGTCACTTAAAATATCATTGAACGGACTTTAGATAAAGAAAAAAAATGTTTGGAAATCGGAATATTTACATATACATCATTGGTATTCAATCCCATTTTTGACGTCATACTGTTGGGCATGAACCCCCTTTTGTGAAAGGGACCACGCCATGCTCCACCCGCTGGCCAAGTGCAGGTTGGAGCACTTCACATGTCTTTCAAACACTTGCTAGACTCTATCAGACATGCAGATTTCCTCAGTCCTTACGATGTTTTCTTTCACTGTTAGGTGAAATGTAATCTTATTGAGAATGATTTGCACATAAAAATATCAGAAGCGTGACACCCGGGAATTAAATCCGCTTTCCGTGATTTCCCAGTAGAGCTAGTTAGCAGTGGAATAGAAATAAATAAATTAATATTAAAAAAAGTTTTTATATCATATAAATTGTGTAATAAATCAGTTTAATTTATTTCAAAGTTCAAACCCTTTCATTCGATGTCCATATCATGGGGGCTCATAAAAAAACATAGTCTGCCATCGTTGGAAGTCCGCCATCGTTGGGAGTCCGCCATGTTGGACTTAGAATGACTTACTGATAACCATGCATTGTCATCCAAACTAATTCAAAATTTCAGCTCATACGGTTGAAGTTAAAATTTTGTTACAAGATTTGACCCGAACAAACATTCATACAAACATGGCAAGGTAAATAAAAGCTTGTAAAGTAATTGTTCTTTTACTAAATATTTTAATAAATGAGGTCGTCATTAGATATAGTATTTTTATAGGTTAAAAAAGTAAGACTTAGGGCATTGACATTATTATTAAAATTTATTTGAATTTACGCAAATTTTATTAAAGTTTACGTGAATCATAGAAACTTCATGTATGTCATAGTAAAATTATATTGAGCTTAATTCGTAGCTAAAATTTTCTTTGGCTGGTCAATTAATGAATATCTGATGTATATTCAAGAAATAATATATTTTGACTATCTTTGATAATTATAGTCGTAAATCTTAATAATATAGAAATTACTACCATATATACATACTGGCGATTCAACCTCGCTTCGCTCGGGTTCGTGACTAGCTTGATTCCCGATACATAATTTCATCCCCATTTTCACCCTCTTAAGGGATGATTTCCGGGATAAAAAGTATCCTATGTCCTTCCCAGGGTCTCAACCTATCTTCTTACCAAATTTCATCTAAATCGGTTCAGTAGATCAAGAGATTACCCCCTACAACGTCACAAACTCACAAACTTTACCTCTTTATAATATTAGTATAGATAGATTATATACTATCAACAATGTGGACTAATATTTTAAATGTAAAAGTTACTCTGTTAACCTCTGAACAGTTTTCGATAAAATTTGGCAAAGTACTCTTCTACATTTTTTGGCTCTTCTCTTCATCCTGATACCGCTGTTTTTTATATTGTCTTTTAGTTTGTGTTATATGTAACTTCTTTCTATTTCTCGTTGACATACTCTTATTATTCGAGCGTTAATTATTACAGTTCTAATCAATGATTAATACATTTTCGATTGTAATACACAAATATTTTTTATTATTTTAATTAGCTTCTAAAAAACTATTGATAAATTTTCAAAAATTAAATTATACGAATATTTAAATTTTGTTTTTAATTCGAAGCACAAGATTTTAGAGCACTATCTCTAGCAAGTTGTATAAAATATGACATGTAAAGGACGTCTACTGGCGTTGAAGTAGTTCGTTTGAGATATTGGAAATCTGCTCTGTGAAGTCACAGTTGCAGGACTCGATATTAGACTGCTGTAATAGGGCTGTCCATTCTGAATGACAGTGTGGAGTAAAATTTAAGTAGAGTTACTACCGTCGAAATCGATTTATTTCTCTTTTTATATGCTTGCGGGAATCTTACCTATTTTCCAAAATAATGACCTATGTCATTTTCAGTCCAATTCTCTAAACTATGGACTACTGAAAATATATTATGTGCTAGACCCTAATACGAATCATAATGAAGTTCGTAACAAGTGGGGTATTTCAATCATATCACTTCCAGGTAAATTTCTAAGAAATTAATTAAAATTCTAAGAAATCTATTATTAATTGACACGCCGGCGTGTCCGCGGCCGTGGAGGGATTAAGTTACGAGACGCGTTATAGAGCAGTTGTATTCAGTCCTTTTTAACGACCCAGTGCTGGGCATGTACCTTCCTTCAATACGAGAGGGATCAGGCTATTGTTAGAGGACTTCACATGTCTTTCAAAAACTTGCTAGATTGTCTGATCTCTCAGATATGCGTATTTTCTCGCAATGTTTTTCTTCATTATTGATTAAGTAATTATTTTGTTATCAATCGTTCGCACATTAAATTAACAGAGGTGTGAGACCTGGGATTTGAACCCGCTTCAGTTGGTTTCCCAAGCAAACGCCACTAAACACATTGCCACTGAGCTACCACTGCTTTCATTATATAGCGCGGTCAACTTGAATAATTAGTATTTTATTAAGCATCAGTGGTTTCAAATTAACATTAGATTAATTATAGTTCTTTCTTATCTTCAATTTATTATTTCAAAAGTTATTTTCTTTTGAAGATAAGTTTAATCATGATATAATTCGAGTTAGTTGGCTTCCAATGATCCAGTTACGTTTATTGAAAATGCATTGTCAGAAGAAGCTATTGGAATGTCAATAACTATGTTTGTCATTAAAGGATTACTGTAAAACACATCAAATTCATAATCTAAACGCCTATATTTTAGGATTTTGACGGTGGAGTATTATTATTCCTTATTAAATAGTTAATATACAGGTTCGGCTAAGTTACAATTTTATTATATGTATAGGCTAGTTAAGGTTTAACGATTAGTATAGATTTCTCAGAGATGAGATATTTTCCCGCAGTAAAAAGTATCCTATATGTTTACCCGAATAACCAGCTATCAACATACCAAATTTCATTGAAATCTCCAGTGGTATTCTCGTAATACGTTCCCAAACAGACAGGCAGACAGATTCGGCCTCTATATCGATAACTAGCATTGCCCGCGGCTCCGCCCGCGTTCAGATGACCAAAAACCAAATTCTTAGGTTTTACATATTAGTATACCCTTAATTACAGTTTTTGTATTTTTTCTCAGAAATGAGATATTTTTCCGCGGTAAAAAGTATCCTATATGTTGACCCGGATAATCAGCTATCACCATACCAAATTTCATCAAAATCCGTCCAACAGTTTTTCTGTGATGCGGTAACAGACAGACAGACAGACAGACAAAAATTCTAAAAACAATAGATTCGGTCTCTGTATCGATAATAATGCTTATTTCAATAAGAATTTCGAATAAATATTACATTTGGTGCAAAGAAAATCTCAATTTATGATTGAGACTCATTTTTAAATATCCTTTTATTATTTTACTTATTGTAATCTCCCTTTTTACGGCTCTGTATTTTACGAGTATTAAGATGAAGCAAATATTATCATTTAAAGGGATCCCATTTAACATTATTGTTATTACTTTACAAAAAACAAAGCAACGTTCAAAACAAAAAAGCTGGCCAGACCCTATTCAATTTGAACATGGTGATTGCAAAAGTTTACTCGTAATCACCCTGAAAGCTATTCACAGAACATTCCAATATAATTAAGCTTATTCGTTTAGCCAAGTTACTTTTAAACAAAATACGTCGATGCGAAAAAACTGTGTTTTTTACTTCTTGTCTTATGATATCAAATAGAAATCGTCGTTTTCATTTTAAACTAACTTTCCTATGCTGAACGCATCTTGATATTTGTATAAATAAAAAAAACTTTGTACAAATTATATTGTTATTTTACTAAAATTTATAATATGTTTTAGTTTAAATGGATGTTTGTTTGTCAATCACGCCAGAACGGCTGAACGGATCTGGATGAAATTTGGCACAGAAATACATTATACATAGTTTGAAATAGCACATAGGCTTTTTATCCCTAAAAAAATATATGGTTCCCGTGGGATAGATTAGTTTCCGTTTTTCTAGAGGCGAACCCGAGCGAAACGAGGGTGAACCGCTAGTATTCAATATATTGTATATGTAATTGTAGGTATATATTGAACCTCGATCAATAGCTTTTCCAGCTGCGGATATTATGTTAACTTCTGTATACATTTTTTAATCTTACTTCTACTTTTTGCCTGTGAATTAGCGATGTACTTAACAAAATAGTTAAATTAATTTACTTTTAGTGACCGGAAATGGATTTTGTAATGAAAAATATTAGAAAACTTATCGACAAGCCTTTAGTCCTGGGTCATCTGTATTATACGCATCTTCAATTTTTTACTAAAAAGATGTACCTCCAGTCCCGACGGTCCCAAAGTCTCCATACTAATATAGCCTTAACCAAGGCTTTTACATTTATGCCGCTTGAGATGTTCCGTGTTCGCTTCCACAGGCCGTCTCTACCGCAATGACTCGACATATTTAATACGACACAATTTGTCTAGAGAGAAAAATGATTCTATAAAGTTTCTAATAGCTAGTAATAAATTTATTTATATTACACTGGAGTTGACAATAATATACTCACACCTTATAAGTAGTGATCGTAATTATTTAGTAATCAGCATTATTAGAGCACTTATTTTTTTTTTAATTATAAATATTTTACATAATATGCCTCAGATCAAAGATGTTGAGTCAAAAATAGTAGCGTGATTTGCTGTTAATGGTACTATTCTCGATTTTAGGTACCCCATACAGATTACTTATTTTCTTTAAAGAATGAGGGAAATTAGTCCGTATCCGTATTTATATGTTATTTATATTATATAAATTAAAATTATAAATGTTAAAGTTTGTGAGTATGTATGGATGTTTGTTACTCTTTCACGCCAGAAGGGCTGAACGGATCTGGATGTTTAGCACAGAGATAGATTATAGTCTGGAATAACATATAGACTACTCTCGGATCTCGGAAGTATGTACAGTTCCCGTGGGATAGCTTTGTTTTTATTTTGCAAGGGTGAGCCACTAGTATATTATATAATAGATAAATTAATATACAATTTTTGAGAATAAAATATGAATAATTAAAATTATATTATATATATTCTTTTGTATTGTTTAAGCATTAGTTCTCTTACCCTTAAAAGAGAGATGGTATAATATTAGCGTATTTAAATTAATTTTTATATATTATAATAACATCTTTTAGCTATTTTTATTTATATATATTTATTTACTTATCACAATAATTATTACTGTGATATATGAAACATATAGTATTTAAAACATTATTGTTAGGCTTCATGTTTAATTTTATGACGCTCTATCTAAATTACTCCTTAGTGAGGTAATATGTTATATTCTCTTTAAGACATGACAATATTGATATTGATACCATATGAGGAGAATAGAATGCTACAATAACAGGAAATGAAAAACGTACTCGTGCGTAAAAGGGTTTTTTAATAAATCATATAAGTAAATTAAATTATTTACTTTCTATACCGATTATTAACTTTGATTATTATTGGATAATGTACATATTACTGTTAATTCAACATAATATACAATAAATCTATATATATAATAAAATTCTGAGTCGATACTGTAAATAAAATATTTTTTTGGAATATCTTTAGAAGTAGACATTATTATTGATACAGAGACCGAATCTGTAGTTTTTAGAATTTTGGTTTGTCTGTCCGTCTATCTGTCTGGGAACGCATCATAAGAAAACCACTGGACGCAAATTTGATGAAATTCATTATAATGATTGCTGGTAATCCGGGTCAACATAATATAGAATACTTTTTACTGCGAGAAAATATCTCATTTCTAAGAAATGTACATATAGGTACTAACCGTTAAAACGTATCTAGCGACGAACCCGAGCGGAGCGAGGGTGAGTCACTAATAATAAATATTATACTAGTAATATTTTTTTATTATTAATTTCATTAGTTTTCAAATTCTTCCTTTGTATTTTACACAAATAGTACAAAATATTTCATGATTAAAAAATTGCTCGATTAATTCAAAAATTATAAGGATTCCCTTTTAGCCAATTGGCTTCAGAACCATAAAAAAACAAAACTGACCTTCTACGGCATTCAGCTCATTATAACGCTCTACAACATTAGCCTAAAAGGGACAGGATTATATTAAAACTTAAATTTCCACTCATTTATTTCATATTTTATTTGTTGAAGAATTAAGCTTTACAGAAAGTTGTATTAACAACTTTTTTATAAATTGTAGTGAACCTATTGACGAGAGATTCAGTATTTGACCGCGTACAGTTTTTACTTTCTTACAGATATTGTGTTACATTTTTTCACATAGCAAACGCCTTTCCGCCTCACAATCCTAAGATAAAAATGTTCAATAAACGAATTATATATATATAGACATTGTGACGTATGAAATAAAAGTCAGAAATATTTGTATACTGCTGTTTAAAGAAAAATTTATAAAAAAAATTAAAGACAAATTAAAAAAGCTTCCCTAAAAACAATGGTCTGATAACCACATTTCACTCTCACTTTAATGGGCAAATAAGATAGCATCATCATTTTCCTAGCCATTTCCTCACTTTGAGCCGCTGCGTAATACTCATTTGCTGTCAGCTAATGAACATTTGGGCGAAATGATGGCGGTAAACATCAGCTTAGCATTTTTTTAGTGTATAAAAGAAATATAAGAAATGATCACTTAGTAAAGGTATATATTTTCCTTAATCTCCATCTAAGTTCAGTTAAGAGTGTTGTCAAATACATAAGTATTATTTATTTTTTCCTAGCAGAGCCTGCCGCTTCGCTCGTGCTAAACTACAAAAAACTCCCAAAAAGGCAGATTTCTCATAAACTTTCATCCCCTATTTTACCCCCTTTTTATGTGACGAATTTCGAAAAATGCTAAAACACGTATTTATTTAATTGTAATGAAGAGCATTAATACCAAGTTTCAAGTAATTCTATATTATAAATATTTTTTTGGGTTATATTATAACGTGTTCTCCCGTTAGAATGAGATAATCTCTCGCGGTAAAAAGTAGCCTATGTCACTTTCCAGCCCTTGAATTATCTCCACACAAAAAATCACGCCAATCCGTCACTCCGTTTCGAAGTGAAAGACGGACAAACAAACAAACACACTTTCACATTTATAATATTAGTATGGATTACAAGAAGTAATAAAAAAAACATAACTAAATGTCTTTGAATATTCATAGTATCTTTAATATGATAACTGAAAATAATAACATAAGCATTTAATAGATTTTTTATCTCCCAGAGTGCGGAATCGAGGAGTGTTCAGAAGGCTGTAAAGGAGGAAGCACATGCGACTGCAATCCCAAAGACACAGATGTTTGTAAGTTTAACAGATGTTTGTAATTAGAAATCTTATATATTTTACAATATTTTTGTATTATGTTATATTTCCTATGTAATATATATTAATATTATTGAATAGTTACTATGCAATTCAATTTAAGAAGCTTGTATTTAAATGAGTTAATTTCAACTTGACACTCAAATATTACTTCAATGTGCCTTCAACATGCCTAAAATAAAACTATGGTGCCGGTCTGATAGTGAAGACAAAGGTAGAACGTATTACTATTGCACTAAACAGGTAGTAAAAAAATACATAGAAAATGACGTGGACAAAGGTGGACTTATGTCTGTAAGAGATCTCTTCCAGTCAACCCATGTATGTGAGAAATAGTGTTAGGTAGCGGGACAGAGAGAGAAAGTGCAAAGAAACGATAAGAAAATATATAAGAATAAGCTTAAGTAAAACAAAATACAATATATAACATACTAGCGACTCACCCTCGCTTCGCTCGGGTTCGTCTCTAGGTTGATTCCCCGTACAAACTTTCATTCCCATTTTCACCCCTTTAAGACATGATTTCCGGCATAAAAAGTATCGTATGTACTTTCCAGGCTCTCAAACTATCTTCTTACCAAATTTCATCTAAATCGATTCAGTAGATCCAGAGATTACCTCCTACAACGTCACAAACTCACAAACTCACAATTCACAAACTTTACCTGTTTATAATATTAGTATAGAAAAATATATATGAGACACACTATCTATATAAATACAAATAAGCAAAAATACATAAATACAAATATGTATTATAAACACTGTATCTATATTAAATAAATAAAATCTTTATTTTATTAGATACTTTAACAACAAATTTAGTTCTTTTATGAATGATGATATCAATTTCAGCATCCGCCCGCTTTGATACAAGGCTGCAGATAATGGACCAAAATAACATCGACATATCTCAAGAAGTTATTAAACAGGTGCATATAATATTCATGAATACCTTACTTAATTATATTGTAAATAAAATCGACAATGTACTAATGTAAATATTTACTTCATTTTTCAGATAACAAACTATTTAAGAGCGTCAAATATAACGTTACATGATGACATCCAAATTTTAAATATAAGGTATGCTATTAACAATATGAGAACAGTATAATAGCTTTATAGAGTAGAACTGTAAATTCTAGCGGGTTAGCAGCTTCACTTCACACATACAAGAGTATAAAATATCCTTCCACCCAGCCATTTAAGGGTGAAACACAAATTTTCACGTTTACATTCATTCATTATAGTCCTATAATTATATATTAATAGGTTTAAAACGAAGTATGTGTTAATATTAAGAACATATCTTTTTAGTGACCCAGAAGTATCAGGGGCCCGGACAGTGTGGCTGCGAGTGTGGGGCGCGCGGAGAGAGGCCGGCGCGCTACGTACGGCGCTCGCCCGCCTCGCCGCGACGCGCTCCCGCTCCGACCGGTTGCGGGTGTTGCCCGCCACGCTACACTTTGATATGCAGCCTGCGTTAAGTTTACACGTAAGTCAAATCTTTTCGGGTTTTGTCGTTGTTTTATTTTGAATTTGCGTTCATGAGGTTTGAAAATTTTACAACAAATAAGCCGTCTCCGGAAAGACAGACATCTCAAAAGTTATAACATAGTTCCTACAGCCGTCAGATACCTACCCACAAAATTATACAATAATTTGGTAGAAATAACAAAATTGCACCGAAATATCTTTTTCTATTTCTCCCATTGTTTTTGAACATTAGTTTCCATTATTCAATATGACGTACATATATATATTGAATTTCTTAATTTTTGTACGTATTAATTTTACCGTTTTGTACGTATTTAGAGTCCAAAAATTTGATTAAATAACTGTAATTCTAAATGAGTTCAAGTGTGTATATTTTTAATGTGCCTTATAATATATCATAAGTTTAATACTGAAAAGTGATTTAGGTAAATAAGTAAAATAAATATTTACAAAAACATGCGGAACGTCAGGGTATGTCAACCTTTACTGCCAGTTATCACTTAAATGATTCCTGAAATGGATGTTTTGATCGGCCTTTTATAAAATGTCTTTAAAATTCTGACATTTGATGTCAGCTACCAAGAACTATTTTAGTTGGCAAATAAAGTACATATAACACTGGCAGAATGGATTGCGTCTGTTAACGCAATTATAAGCCATTTAAAAAAAAAAGACGTGTGGCACTCGGAGACTGCCGCGGTAAAGCTATTGCATAGCATTTTTTATCAACTTATGCAATTATAATTATTTATTTATTTTATTAATGCAGTATTTTTTTCCTTTGTTTTTTTTATCTTTGATATTAATTCAAGTTACACTTTGAGCGTGGTGACCGATAAAAAAACATTTTTTTTCTTTTATTAAATAAATGAGATGTTAATATTGTTCAAAATATTTTTATTATCTTTCAATACATGTCGGTTCTTCAGGAATATTTATCATTGAAACTGGTAACTGAAATAAGAAACATAAGTTTGAGACTTGATATCTTCTAAATATCTGGAAAATACCGCGTCAATGGTGGTTCCATATTTTGTTGTGGATTCTTGTGGATCATTATTCATTTTCAAATTCAATATTTTCGAAAGCAAGCTGCATCGACTGCATCTTTGTTGCAAGAATTCAAAAGACTGTCTCTAAATAGTGTTCAGACGATAGCTCCAAGTGTATAAGATTTCATTAGTAATAGAAATGGCATTTCAATAATTACTTTCAACTGCCAAAGTCTAAATAGTCACAAATACGATTTACAAGATTCAGTTACGAGGCAAGCAAATGTGTTACTTCTTACCGAAACAGATGTCAAATGTCAGATCGTCAGAAACGTCAGATGTCAGATGTCAAATCTGAGTGGGGGGGGTTAGGTTTTTTTCGTTACGGAATTACTGGATTCGGTCCCCACGCTCAAGGCCCGCGATAGAAGCTATGCAATAGCTTAAAAGTACTTATAACATGTATCTGACATAACTTAAAGATATCATTTAAAATTGAAATAACAATAGGTACATAAGATTGGTCTTAACATATCCTTTGAAAACTGTTATTGTCCTGCTACACTACAGAACGCGCATTTAATTTTTGGAAGAGTTAAATTCTTTCTTCATACCTATATTTTATAAAGTCCATCTAAACTAAAGATGGCCAATCGCAATGAGACGAGTAATCTGTCCGGGAAATAATATAAAGCACAAGTGTGCAAAGCATGCAATCTTACACGACGGAGTGAACTCAGAATATAAAATACACGTATAAATATAGTGTCATAAACTATTACTCAGCGTGAGCTCTTTACGGAGAAAGGACTCTGATTATTCCATTAATCTTTTTTACAACCCATTTTAGATAAAACTATCGTTTCGTGGATTTATTTTGATTTTTGGTTCCTGACTGACGTTACGCGAAAAAATCCGAAAAGATAATTTAAATAGATAGATTAAGATTGTATGGGATTAAGATTCGATTAAGATTGTATGGGAGTATAGAAAAGTGTTGTTTTTAGACTTTTTCTGGCAATTTTTTAAATTTTTCTTCTTTTCCCTAAGAACCATCCTCTTACTTCAAGGAATATTTTAAAAAAAGAACTAGCGAAATCGGTTCAGCTGCTCTCGAGATTTGCGCTTAGCAACGCATTCAGCAATTCATTTTTATATTATAGAAGAATGTCAAAAATTCGCGTAAATCTAAAAAACTATTATGAGAACTAATACATTGTTACAAAATCATACTTTATTACACAGCATTTTCCAAGCACATACTCTAAGCTAAATATAAAATTCGGTTAACTTACAAGAAATACCAGCACAAATACTAGTAATTTCTCTTTTAGACGTTCTTCGCTGTATAAACTTGCAGTAAGAAAAATAAGTAAAAAGTTACAAAGTTAAATTCAGTATTTATCGCCGCATGTACACCGCGAGCACCTGCGCCCGCATTGCACTTTAATATACTACATCTACTGAATTTGTTGGCGATATCTATACATATAATAAAATTCTAACTGAGTTAAATCTGTACATTAAATATTTTTTGGAAAATCTTATTGAAATATACATTATTATCGATACAGAGGCCGAATCTATAGTTTTTAGAATTTTTGTCTCTCTGTCTGTCTGTCTGTTACCGCATCACAGAAAAACTGTTGGACGGATTTTGATGAAATTTGGTATGGTCGTAGCTGATTATCCGGGTCAACATATAGGATACTTTTTACCGCGGAAAAATATCTCATTTCTGAGAAAAAATACAAAAACTATAATTAAGAGTATACTAATATGTAAAACCTAAGAATTTGGTTTTTGGTCATCTGAACGCGGGCGGAGCCGCGGGCAATGCTATACTTTATAAAAATTTACTTTTGCTTTATGAAAAATTCTTTTTTATTCCACAATAGGCATGAAATAATAACTTGATACCCTCCTTTTCGCTCTACCTACTATAAAAGAATTACTTCATGAAACCCATTGTATTTATAATTTTGAATGCCATATACTTTGTCACATTATATAAAAAATACAAAACGTAGTAAATATAAAGAGACATATCAAGGCTTTTTTAAGCATTTTTGGCAAATAGTACAGTTAACAAATTAAAAATACTTTTTTAAATAAATGTGCACAAGTCTCACCATCTCGTTCCATTGTAAATTACAAGCGAAGCGCTGCCAGCGACTACATAGTAACTATTCATGTTTTGTCTCTATTTTGTTATATTTCTACGTTGAAAAAACCCTTTGTTGTATAATTAATCACAGCTTAATTCACATAACGTATATTCACTCGTGTATCATTAATTAAGACTAAATACGAAAAATGTTTAAAAACGAGACACGAAGTTTGGGTTACATTAAAACGTAAAAGAACAGAAACTTTGTCTCGAGCTGTGAAATTTGCTATCGTCGACCGATGTCGCTGCGAAAGTTTAATTATTTTAAAATATACATTTGACAAATTGTTTAAAGAACTATTTAGAAATGACATTCGATTCTTTTTATCACAAAATTCTCTCTAATTTTATCTGCTTTTGAAGAAGTATTGTATCAATGGATTCACGTTTCTAACATGCTTTTATTAGCTTCAGCTTCACATGTACAAATACTGTGTACTCATAGTTGGTACCTATTAGAATTTTGAAACTCGACTTTAATCTATTTCTAGGTATCGAATGATTTTGAAACTGCATAATTAAAACACTTTGCATGATGACTGATTTAATAATTAATTAAGTCGGGAAACGGATGAACGAACTCTTCAATGAACAATAAAATCTTCGAGTTCTCTCGTTTGTTACAATTTGATGACTCAGAAATTACACCTTTACATTAATATTTAATATACCTATTTAAGTTAAAAAAATAAACCGCTTCCAGATGAAATGTTTAGTTTACTTCTACGTATTTTAATGACAAATTAATAATTTAATGACTATTTAAAGTTTTAAGTTTTAAACATGAAATATGTAAATGAAAAAAAACATAAGCACTGGCTTTCTGCCAGTAACTAAACTATGCATCAACTTGAATCAGCATGATTATTATAACTGCTACGAATATTTTCAATTATTCAACGTTCAAGAAATCCATTCAATTGCTTAAATAAATTACAATATTTCAACCCCCAATCAAATTTAAACAGTAGATATTATTATCTTGCCAGGAGAGATAGAATAGTCCATCTCGTTATGAGTAATAGATAAATTAATATCAATAGCATTGAATTAACCAGAACAATTTCGTGTTCGGAAAATGTCTTGAAATTCAGTACTGCAGCGCATCTCGTAATCCCAATTTTCCGAACTAAACTTTTTCAAAGAATCCAACTGACAGTAATAAGAAACTCATAAAATATCGTCGTGCCATGCTTGGATTGGGGTATAAAAATTTCATTACGCAGTAAAAATGTTTCTCTAGCCTAAATCATTTCTTGAGGACGTACTTTCATGTAAATTTTGCATTTTATTACAGACTCTGATCGTCAACCAACGCCCTGAAGTATGGGAAGGTTCGGAATTTATACTAAGTTGCATGGCGTATGGATCCCCGGAAATTGCATTCACCTGGTATAAGGATGGGGTTAAAGTGAACTTCAACGGTACAACAAGGTAAGTTAATGTGTTGTTTTATTTTCTACGTAAATCGCTTCTTTCACACGAGATATAAACTGTAAAAGGCATCAACTCTAAGATCCCAGCTCTTCAAGATTTAAATATAATTAAATATATATTTTTTTAATTACTTACAGTTACTTATGTATAGTTGATAAATTATGTACTTTGAGATTATTTAATATTAGAGAGTAGTGAATTAGCCTCGCTTCGCTCGAGTGCAACCGTATGGTACGACACGTTTGGCTCAGTTTGTAGTGACCCTACTTGCTGTGCCAGCGGTCGCGGGTTCGAGTCCCGCTGGGGGCATTCAATTGTGTGATGACGAACGTTTGTACTCCAGTCATGGGTGTTTATATTTATAACATGTATGTATTTAAAGTTATATATGTGTAGTGTATCAACTATCTGGTATCCATAACACAAGCCTTGTAGCTTACCATGGAACTAGATGGCGCTGTGTGTTAATGTCCCAACATATTAAAAAAAAATATGTGCCTAACTTATGACAAAGGTAACACATTGTGTTACATCATAATCTGTGTACCACATTTATATAAAGTTCTTATTGTCTAAACACAAATTCAAACGTACGCACACCACATAAAGTACTTTTTAAAACAAAGGACGCGCGTTTTAATTTTGTCATCCGTAAAGCAAGCAAACAAAAGAGACTTGAAAAAAGCACACAATTTCGAATAGTACGCTTTTTTTTGAGGACTCTTTTGAGATGCTAATTATGTATCTTGAGTTTTTGTATATCAACACTGTACCTAACTACTAAATTTCATTTAAATCTGCCTTCACGTTTCATCGTAAAGAAGAAACAAATATGACAAGTCGCTAGCAAAAATTCATAATTAGATTTTTTTAATATTATAAATACGAAAGATTGTAAGTACTTCATTTCTCTTGTTTAAAATCAAGCAGTCGACTTCCTTTAAATCAAGTTGGCGATTCCAAAGTTCTTGTAAAAGTCTTATTGAATAAATTTAAAATTGATTAGATTTGTCTGTTACAAAAGGTTACATAGGGTGCGGTAAGTTCAATCAAATACTAGTTTCACCCGGGGTTCCGCTCGTGTATATGTCTATATAAAGTAAATATATGTGGTAATCTTAGAAAAAAGGTAATTTGATTCCAAATTTCAGAACTTTATCTGTTATAACATAAAAAAAAATAACAAATACAACACAAAAGCTTTACTCACTTACACACTTTTATATTTGTAATAGTAGTGTTGTTTATTTATATTATTTCCACAAAATCCCATCACTAGAGACATATGGACTAGAACCGTAGCAGAAGATGCATTAGGGCGACGGATGTCAGTACTCGGTATATCGGAAGCTAAGAAACCTGACAGCGGCCGCTGGTCCTGCTCCGCAGACGACGCGGGCAGGCGACGGTGCAGCGCTCTCCGCCTGACGATACTACGTCCACCTGACATACGTCTTGTACCGTCAACACTTACTGTTAATAAGGTAATTATATTTATTAATATTTATTTACTCTTCGGATTTCACCGGCTCAAAAGAACCCGGTCATTTGAAAAGCTTGTGTGAGGGGGAGGGGGGGGTGATAACCATCTCTAAGCATCTCTTGGCCCAAAGATGGTCTCCAGGTAATACGAATTGACTGTGAAAAAATGGAAAATTGAATATCCCACAAAGCGGTATAATGCCCCAGGCGCAACAACAGCGTGGCAACGCGGCTTAGGGGTCGAGAGGTGTACGTTGAGAGAAAGATACAAACAGTAAAATAGATAAACACAAAAAGAAAAGATGTACAGGAAGCGGCCTTATGGCTAGAAGCGATCTCTTTTAGGCAACCTTGGTGGAGGAGTAAATTTTTATAAAATTATTTGGATCCCACTGCTGGGCACGGGCCTCCCTCCAATGCGACGAGACCATAGTCCACCACGCCGGCCAAGCGCCTGCGTGGTGGACTTCACATATCTTTTGAAAACATGCTAGGACACGCAGGTTTCCTCGCGGTGTTTTCCTTCACTATACGACAAGTGGTAATAATCATGGAAATGATTCGCTCATGAAATTATATAGTGCGAGCCGCGGATTTTAACCAGCTCCAATCTGTTTCCCAAATCAGCACATTGCCATGTACCAAAAAAGTGGTTTAACTTGTATTTCTTTTTAAATTATGTTTTCCAATAAATCAAACTTATGCTTCCCTCATTTTACCTTGACAGTATTTGATTACTTTTTACTTTTTTCATCAGCTACATTAAAATTCACATCATACTATTAACTTTTTCCTGACTTGTTTTAGAAAGATGAAAAATAAAGTATTTAAGTTTAAACTAAAAGTCCATAACGGTACCCTTTGTGCAAAAAGTTTGTAAATTTTTACATTATACTCTTCTTAATAACCATTTTAAAGTAGTCGGAGAATATAAAGTATTAAAAATAAAGTATAAAAAAGGAGTACAAATTTAAGAATTTCTCTTCAATGCATATTTGATAGGGTCTTCTTTATACTTTTATTTTAATTTCAGTTTCTGAGTTCTAAACATTAATGAATGAACATTGAGAGTTAATCTGCAGTATGTATTCACTGCAAAAATAAAGACATAAATTATATCACACTAGCGACTCACCCTCACTCCGCTCGGATACCTCAGTCCTAATTACGTTTTAACGTTTAATATAGATTTCTCAGAGATGAGATATTTTCACGAAGTAAAAAGTATCCTATATGTTGACCCGGATAACTAGCTATCATCATACCAAGTTTCATCAAAATCTGTCCTGTGGTTTCCTCGTGATGCGTTCCCAGGCAGACTAACAAAAATTCTAAAAACTATAGATTCGCGCTTATTTTTATTTTTTTGACTATGGATATTTTTTCGGATTGTATTATAACGTGTTTTCCCATGGGAAATAGATAATCTCCCGCGATAAAAAGTAGCCCATGTCACTCTCCAACCCTCCAAGTATTTCCACACAAAAAAAAACGCCAATCCATCACTCCGTTTCGACGTGAAAGAAGGACAAACAAATAAGTAAACAAACACACTTTCACGATTATAGTATTAAGTATGATTAATTAAAAAATTATCATAATAATCAAATTGAGTAACTTCTTTTTTTTAACCGACTTCCAAAAAGGAGGATGTTCTCAATTCGTCGGAATCTTTTTTTATGTATGTTCACCGATTACTCGAAGACGCCTGAACAGATTTTGAATTTTTTATTTTGATTTGGAAAAATAAAATAAAAACCGACTTCCAAGCACTAAAATGTAAAAAATAACTAAACGGGGGTTTTCATTTAGAATAGATACCTAATCAGATATTTTCGAAGTCGGTGCCAGCCGAAAATATTTTAAGATACCTATGAATATCTATAAGGTAAAATACATTAGATTTGCTTTACATTTTAGTGCCTGGAGTCCGGTTTTACTTTTTTTAAAGTTTTATTCAAGTTGATTTAAATTAAGATATCAATTTTTAGCTTTGAAAAACGTTAAATGTGAATGAGCACTGAATCCCCCATATGCTGATAGATACATTAGTCCGCTTGTCCCGTAAATCTGTAGTTTTATGGTTCACATTTTACCCTCCAGCCATGCTGGCGTCGGTGAGCAGTTAGCTTTGAGTAATAAGTAGTAAAAGATATTAGAATTAAAAAGTTTCATATTCAAACATCGTATGGAACGGTACTTCTCTTTTCTACCTCACGACCATTTTCATATTATGGAACCTCCATGAAATGAAATGAATTAATGAATGGACGTAAAAATAACTCTGCACTTTACGTATAATACAGTCAAAGTTGATACGTAAGCGGCTATAAAGTGTTTATTCCAACTCAAAAACAAGACTAATTGCGGGAGAAATTCTGTAAATTGTGGTAAAACTGCACAAAACAGATGGAAATAGTATAATTTATACACTAAATAATAATAACCACTCGTAATTGAAAAGTAAATACACTTTAATTGTATTGTAATATGTTACCAAATATACCCAATTGTAGAACATGCTAGTTTTGCTTATGCTTATTTATTTTTTTCAGCCCTTCTTATACGTAAATGTGACATAACGAACTGGTTTAGCCTAGGCAAAGGGCAAAAGCTAAACTACAGCTAAAGCCAGATTGGTCGAACTAGTTTAATATAGACTCTAGATTAAATCAGTTATCCCCGATATGTATATTTTAAAAAATTAACATGATATGTGTATTTTAATGTTAATTATTTATGACAAGCCCATTTTGGACTTATGTAGAAGTACTAGGTAAACTAGGCAATGCCACTTTTTCCTAAAATTGAATTTCGCTGGTAACATATACTTACTACGCAAATGTAAACAAATCCCGGAAGCATAGGTACATTGAATATTATGATTATTTAAAAAAAACAAATAATAGCATTCGCTTACAATTATTAAAAATAAAATATTTATAGGGAGAAAATTGACTTTATACGATGTTTCATAGTTTAAAAGAGCATTTCTAATTAGCATTATGCAGTAAATAAAAATATATTGTACTACTGTAGTGTAGTAGCTTTGTGAATCTTGATCTTACGTAATGTAATTCTCTTATTGTAGCGTGGAATGTGAAATATAATCAGACAGTGCTCTTGGAGATAATTCTAGTTATTTTTCAAGAAACACGAATGCACAAAGACTACATAGTTACTTTAACTTAAATAAAATGAACTAAACAAACGATTTTTTTATGAAACGTAGTACCTACTATTTATATATATATATTTATTTATTTATTTATTTAAATAGGAAGCCAACGTTGTATACAATAATAGTTCTTATTCTAAAGCACACTCTTATATATCTGTGGTAGAAATTGTATACCTCACTTACAGGCTAACTCAACATGCATAATATAAAGAAAAACGGAAAACAATACAAAACATCCTTTGAAATTAGTAATTTTAAAAACTTACTTAACTAAAAAATTATACAAAAAAAACACATAACAATAAAGACCGCTAAAAATTAAAAACTACTAAAATGTAAATAAACAATACGAACTATAAAATATAAAATATTTCATTGTGAGATTAAAAAAAAAAAACAAAACAAAAAATTAAAACAAATTACGCATAAAACATTAAAAAACTATTAAAGGCAATTCTATGTGTTGACAATTTTTTTAAATTGTCGCTTAAAAGATGAAGCTGATTGTTGGAAAATATCCAAACCTGCTTTTAAAAATACGTTGTTATATGTAATGATTACTCTATTTACAGGGGCGGCCTTGCCAAGGTTACTCCTAGCAAATCGTTGTTTAAAAGTTTGCTTCTTTTTAATGTGACCTCTAGCATTATGCCTTGGTACTGCTAACCTTACTCTATTTAACAAATTTGGACTATCGATACCTCTATTTATAATTTTATGTAAAAAACAAAGATCTGCTAAGTCTCTACGATTAAATAGAGACAGAGATTTATATAATTTTAGATGATCGTAATAGCTTTTACTTTGTTTCAGTACATTATCTCTGTACGCCAATTGCCGTAAAAATTTCTTTTGCACTCTTTCTATCCTATCTTTATGAAATTGATACTGAGGATTCCATGCAACAGAGCAATATTCAAGTCTACTACGTATCATCGAATTAAACAGCGCTATTTTGGTTGAGGATCTTTTAAATTCTTTTGAAGTTCTCATAATAAAACCTAACAATTTCAATGATTTTTGTATTATGTCATCCAAATGTGGTATAAAACTTAATTTACTATCTAAAATGATCCCGAGGTCACTGATTTGGCTGACTTTCTCTAGAACATTCCCGTTAATACAGTAATCAAAATTGACATTTTTTACTTTTCTACTGAACGTTATAATGTAACATTTTAAATGATTTAACTTTAAATTATTATGATCACACCATACCGAAAGTCTATCTAAATCTTGTTGTATATATATACAATCATTTATGTCTTCTATTTTTTTATATATTTTAAGATCATCAGCATATAGTTGAAATTGACAGTATTTGAAACACTGAACTATGTCATTTATAAAAAACCCAAACAATATTGGACCAAGAGTGGAGCCCTGTGGTACTCCTGAAGTCGCAATAAACGTTCGTGACTGATAACCCCCGACAACTACATTCATTTTACGGTTTGCCAAGTAACTTTCAAACCACTTAATAAGATTACCATTGAAACCGTAGCCACTAAGTTTCTTCAATAAAATATGGTGATCGACTACGTCAAATGCTTTGGCCAAGTCAGTATAGACGCAGTCTATTTGTTCAGATTTATCCAATGCTATCGATAAATCATCGACTACTATCGCCAAATTCGACATAGTGGATCTTTTTTTGACAAAGCCATGTTGATTCTCTATCATTGCCGATTTCATATGCCAAGTAAGCACCGGACAAATCAACGACTCAAATATTTTAGAAAAGACTGACAATATACAAATCGGCCTGTATTTTGTTATATCCTTCCTATCGCCGCATTTAAATATAGGAACTACTCTGGCCTTTTTCCATAAACATGGGAATTCTCCGTCACTCAGTGATTTATTAAATATTATATGCAAAGGCTTTGCCAGAAAAGCAGCACAATGTTTAACAAATATGGGAGGTATATCATCAGGACCACACCCTTTATCTACATCAAGACATTTTAACTTTACAATGATATCCTTCTCCAGGATTTTTATACTAGTCAATTCTGAATTGTGATATGATATTGTAGTTTTAGAAGATTGATGCGTTGTTAAATTTGGTGAAGTGTATACATTTGAGAAATGCGTAGCGAATTGATTGCAGATATCAGCTCCATTAGTAGATGAAACGCCGTTTAGAGTCATTAATGCAGGAAAGTCATATCATATATATATATATATATATATATATATATATATATATATATATATATATATATATATATAATTATATAGCTTTATGCAGCTTGGTAAACGTTTTTTAACGTAGATCGGGAATTCGATCATATATGTGAATAAATTGGTCCTTTTAATATGACCACGTTTTCTTTTTGTTCCTCATAAAAATTCACCCCCTGATTTGTAACTTAATATCACCTATATAAGATAAATCCTTTTTGCCTTTTAAATAAAACGATCTTTTCGGATTTTTTCGCGGATTTATTTTAATTTTTGTTCTCGACGTTCTACGGAATCTAAGAAAGTATGCCTTGTTTAACTTTTACCTGATTTTAATTATATTTGGTGGCTTTACGGTATTTTTAAATACAATAAAGATTATAATATATATATCTATTGATAATTTAACTTACATCCTACTTTTACAATAAACAATTCCATCGTTTTATGTCATCATTATCATTTTGATCCGTTCGCCAGTAAAGGCGATTAGGTAAACAACCCCTATCATCCGCTTAGTTCTAGTACTTTAAAAAAATTATTGAGCTAAAAAATTCTTGATATAATTTTTTTCATTTTTAACCCTTTAGTTTTACATTATACAAATGAATGTATGGATTATACGTAATTTTACAATTTCTCAGGGCGATAACGTAAGTATAACTTGCTTGGCGGATGCCGGTCGAGTACATGGTACGTTGGGTTTCAGTTGGGCCAGAGAAAGGTCCCTCTTACCCCTTGCACCAGGAAGAGAAGTTTGGGAAGACTTATATCCTGCTGGAAGCGTGCTAAAACTTTATAATATTCAGGTTTGTATTTAGTTTCTAATATTACAGTAAATTCAGCTTTAGCCTAAAGTAAAAAAATCCATTGGGCTAACCTTATACGGTATAATTGTACAATTAACATCGTTGTACTTACAAGTCATGTTCGCATAAAATGGTTGCTAGAGAGTTCTTTGCATACTCCGTTAAAACGTAAAGCCGATTCTTTTAATGGTCTTTTCGGTTTAATATTCAAGTTTCGTTTCGTGCTCAAACTTTGAACGGCTTTTCTATATGAATCTAGATTATTATCAAAGCCTTAGACTTAGAGTTCAAAAGCTTTGTATAGTTGTAAAGATAGTATACTCCTTTAATTTTTTATTTTATCTTCCAAATAGGTTATATTTATTTAGTATTTTTAATAGTTTATTTGTATATCATGTTTATTTTCAAAAGTAAAAACATTTGGATCAATAAACTTTTAAATTATCATTCGTGTCTTCCTCACAATGACACTGGCAGAATGGATTGCATCTGATAACGCAACTATAAGCCAATAAAGAAAAAAAAACTTTTAAATGTCGTTTCTTTAAAATTTCAGATAATATTTTATTTTATATAATGTAATTATAGATTTCTATTATATTATTAATTTGTTATTTGATTAAATCTTTAAAATTTCAGCAACACATTGAAGTTTTATTGATCAATATTGACGTATGAAAGTTGATAAGAAAAATCATATTATATAGTTTTGAGATGAAAATCTTAGATATCTAGATAATTAAACATAAGAACTAACTATGATAATGTTTTAACGAATCACGCTCTTTTGTTCGGCACCGCTAATTACCCGCCGGTAGTGAACTACGTATACTACGTATAGCAGATGACAGAAGCGTATTGTTTCTTGTAAATCATTGTTTTTAGTTACGAAAAGAACGAGAGCGTATCTTTTAATCTTATTTCGTATATTTCTTTCTCGTATATTACTTTTTTTGACGACTTTGTCTTCATATATAAAAACACCTTTAGACCTAGGCCTAGGTACATTAATGTGAATAGATTTTTTTCCCAAAGTTTTGTAATAACTATGTCACTTCAAAGTATCTCCATAGTCCATACAGAAAAACACCAATTCCTGACACTGCTTCCATGAGTAAGGTGGACAAACAAACAAAATAAAGTTTAATATTTATAATATTATTATATTTTTTATGAAAAATAAATATTTGGTTATTTACAAGCGTTTATAATGTTACGAGTGGTAAGAATAATGATAATTATTATTATGTCCCAATAAGTATAACCTTAAACAAACTAATCATTTTAGAAATCCGGCGAATTTCGATGTCAAGTATCTTCAGTGGCTGGCACCAACGCGAAGGGGGTAACGATGTGGGCTCTTGGAGCGAAGGATGAAGCTTGCGAATCTGAGGCCTCGCATGGCTTGAGATGGCCTAAAACTGCTCCCGGAGCTCACGCATCCGCCACCTGTCCGCCGGGTCATAGTGGGGAATCTACCAGGTATTTTTATATAGATCCAGAGATTACCCCCTACAACGTCACAAACTCAGAAACTTTACCTCTTTATAATATTATTATAGATACATACAGATACTTGAAAGATATTTATTACTGTAAAAGTAAGTCTAAAATAATTTTAAATATTCGCGTAAGTACAAGAAAGTATCATCTAAAATAATTCTCAAAACCAAATGACTTAATGAGTTCTATCCGCCATTAGTGACCCCGTTTAAGTCTTTAAATTGCTTTTAAACTGCTAATAAACTTTATTTCGAAAGTCTGAACTGAATTATTTGTTGGATAACTTGGTCAGCAATTCAATAACTTTCATAGGATTAAATAATTTGCGGAAGGATAAGACTTGAGTAAGTCATTTTTGATCTAGATTCTGTGAGCCGAAGACAACTCAGCACGGAGTCAAATGGACGTCGCCGGACTTCTCCGGTTGTGTTGCGGACTCTTTGAAAGATATTTATGAACAGGTATTATGCTTTAGACTTTAATATATGTTGTATTTATATGGCTTGATTTGAATAATCCAATGTTATTAACTGGAAAGTATAGAAAATTTAAATTAAAATAACATCACTTGTGCGTAGTTTTTTTGTGAAATATGAAATTAGTTTTTAAATTTCTCGAATTAAACTAATTATACCATATTCATTTAATCATTGTGTACTTGAAACATTGCAATTTGTAATAAAGTTATACATACGTAACAATGCATTTTTCAGTTTACACGCATATCCTATGGCTATTCCTGGGACAACGTGTCTTATGTTGCCCATCAATATGGAGCAGTTCTACGTTTTCTACCAGCTCATCCCGGGGAAGGAACTCTCCCATTGCAACATTCTAGGGAAATGCTGAATTATCTGCGCTCCGCGGCCGGCAAATTCCAAGATAAACAAGAGAGCGTGCCACATCTTCTTATCATATATGACACTTTACTGAAGCATCCTGATGCGTTTTTAGATGAAGAGGTTAGTTTAATAATACAATTCTCATTTATATTATACTAGCGACTCACCCTCGCTCCAATCGGTTTCGTCCCTACTTACGTTTTAATGTTTAATATAGATTTCTAAGAGATTATCTTATTATTTGTTGACACGGATAACCAGCTATCATCATACCAAATTTCATCAACATACCTCTAGTGGTTTTTCCGTGAACAGACAGACAACAGACAAAAATCCTAAAAACTATAGATTCGGCCTCTGTGTCAATATTAATTACTATTTCAATAAGATTTTCCAAAAAATATTTAATTTACAGATTCGACTCAGTTTGAATTTCATTATATGTATAGAATAGTGGCTTACCTTGCTTTGTATGATGCGTCATTAGTGGTCTAAAAATAGCCTATGTTCTGCTCCGGGTACTAAATTTCATCCAAATCGGTTCAGCCGTTGCAGCGTGAAAAAGTAACAAACATACACACATTCAAACTTTCACATTTATAGAAATAATCAGATAATTCTTTCTATCAGATAAAATATTTTTTTCACTAGCATTGCATGAAGTTACATTAGCTGTTACTCATACAAAATATTTATTCCAATCAAATTAATACGAAATGCGGGATAAAAGTAACAATAGTTACTTTCTATTAATATTTCTATTATTTTTTTATGGAAATACTGGCGACTCACCCTTGTTTCGCTCAGGTTCGTCCCTAAATACGTTTTGACGCTTAGTAAGGAATAGATTTTTTTTATTTTTTTTTCGTGTATATTTCCGATATTTTAATAGTTATTCTGTTATTCGGGGTAAAGACAAATCAAACAAAACAAACATCATAAAAATCGGTCCAGCAATTCTCGAGTTATAAGTGTTGTAACAAACCCCACTTTGTTTTATAGTATATATAGATAAAAAATAAGATATCGAAACTCGAAATTTTAATTCGATAGGTAATAGATACCCGAAATACAGCTTTGCTTTTAAATGTTCTCTTCAACAATTCAAGAACAAATCCTAAGTACTCTTAAAAGCCATTTGCTATGATTAATTATGTTTTGATTAACTGAAGCGTTGTTACGTTTATTAGCTCCTACAAATTACATCAATTAAAGTGTTAACTGATTAAGACTAATGTTGCTAGCACCCTCTGGCATCGATTTACTTTTGATTAAATTATTTTCTCATTTGAAACCAATATATTTGATAATCGATCGTCGATTTCATTATTTTATTTTATTACTGGTTATACTCCATACTACGGATTTGCCGATATTTGAAGATTTTCTTCGTCTATAAAGATTTGATGAGTTCTAAGCCAATGCTTCGTTAGTCAAAAATGACGGAAGTCATAGCAAGTAATAATAAAATTGGTATAATAATTCTGCCCTTTTAACGTCTCACGCTGGCCAAATATAATTTCTCAGGCTTCTCACACGTTTTCGGTCTGTCTTCTACTCTCACGTGTTTTCCTTTATCGACTTTATATCTTAGAATTTATTATCTTAGAATGTGCTCTGTGATAAAATTAGTAAATGCATACAACGTGAATTATATCCATGTACGATTATAGAGCAAACTCTATAATAAAGTAGTACCTAAATAGTAAATACTAATATTGACTTGACACAGGGATCTACATAAATCTATGTTCAAGATTAAATTATTATATTTTTATTTCTTAATAAACTACATTTATTTCTATATTAATTAATCCTCCAACTTCCATATGCTAAGCAATTTTAAAGTTATTTATTTAAACAGAATCCTCGATGTGTGCATGGCATATTTGTTATTATAGGAACATAGTAACGCCCAGAAAGACAAACACACATAGCAATCAATCAACGTCAACAAAGTAAACTCAGGTAGCTCAAGTGTTATATTCAACATTAATAACAATTCAATAGGTATGTGATCTAGCTATCAAAGGCAAATCCACCGTATAATTACACCACTATCCGGTACAAACTGACATAATAACTTTAAATAGAACCTTACACCCTACTTTAAACTACCAATATATTAGTGCGACTCTAATAGGGAAAGGTTTATATGTTAATTAGAGGTTAAATGGAAGGTCCCATTTCAATGATACTGGTAAATTAAAATATTGTTGACTTATTTGTTTCTTTAGATAGACATATAGATGATTTTTAGATTTTTGTACTTGCAGATTTTTTCGAATATAGCCTATGTTTTAACCCATTGACACGTCACTCACATACAAACACTCACACTTAATCTCACTTACCCATTTGCTGACTTTATCGAAGATAAAAAAATTATTGCTAAGATTATATATATACTAGACTAGCATTGCCCGCGGTTCCGCCCGCGTTCAGATGACCAAAAACCAAATTCTTAGCTTTTACATATTAGTATACTCTTACATTGCAGTCTTTGTATTTTTTCTCAGAAATGAGATATTTTCCCGCGGTAAAAAATATCCTATATGTTGACCCGGAGAACCAGCTATCACCATACCAAATTTCATCAAAATTATCTCAGCAACTGTACTATAAAGTACAGTTAAATAAAAACAAAGGTAACTAAGTGAAACGACGAAAAAATCTTAACACGAATAAAACATATAGAATATATTATATTAGCACCCCAAATCCAATAAAGGCTTCATTAGCTTACGTTATACAGATCCCGTGTTGATGTACAAATGTTTGCAGATAACCGGCGGCTTAATATTCCCTCTGAGAGGGCTCTTATGCCGCATGTGACAACAAATCAACGATCTATACAATCTACATGCACACTTAAGTGTACCTTTGTTAAATTAAGTTACTGGATAAGAATTACGTTTTGTTTATGATTGTTTTGTTTATTGTCGTGGTGTAGTAAAGTGACCTAAGTTCCCCCTGTGGTCCAAAGTCTACCATAATCATTATTCAAGATTTGAGAAAATATACAATATCTATATATATAATAAAATTGTAACTAAGTCGAATCTGTACATTAAATATTTTTTGGAAAATCTAATTGAAATAGACATTATTATCGATACTGAGTCCGAATCTATAGTTTTTAGAATTTTTGTCTGTCTGCCTGTTACCGCATCACGAGAAAACCATTGGACAGATTTTTAAGAAATTTGGTATGGTGATAGCTGGTTATCCTTTTTTTTTCTTTGTTTTCGCTGGGGAAACCCATCATGGGGACCCTGCCGCCGTCATGGGCAGGGTACTGTGAGACTCCTACTCACTAAAACCCACAGCGGAACCCTTCGCCGCAGTGCAATGGGGCGTGCAGGATCGCTTTCGCACTCACTGCAACACCCCTGCGGACGGCCCGTACCACGCGTGCCAGCCTCGCCTAAATCAGGATGCCCTCGGTTCGCAGGGCATCCCGACCGCCCCGATGACGTGCAGGGGAGTCAACGAGAGACCCCCCCGCGGTAGCTCCTCTAGGGTGGCGGGAGAAGATGCGCATACCGGCGCCTCCTCCCCCCCAGCCGACGGTGACGAAGAGGGTCTGCTAAGGCGTTAGCCTCGCGTTCCCTCTCCGCCGTCTCCTTCAGTGAGATGACGGTCTCACTGAAGGAGACCATCGCTGACCAGGACCTCGCGTCGCGTAGCATGGCCCCCACACGCTTCGCAACGAAAGGTCTCCACCCACTACCGCCATCAGAGCATGGCGCTGGGGAGTCCATGCGGCGCATACCGCGAGGGTGTGGTGCGAGGTGTCCTCGGACGCACCACACTCATGGCATACGGGCAACGGTTCCCGACGTGCAATCTGAAACAGATACTTACCGAAGCACCCGTGCCCGGTAAGCATTTGCGTCAGCCTGAACGTCAGGACGCCGTGTGGCCTCCTGACCCAGCGAGACAGGTACGGATGAATCGCACCCACCGTCGCCAGGCCAGCCGCCGGAGTCCCCAGATCTTCCCACCAGCGCCGGATCAGGGCCTATAGCTGGTTATCCGGGTCAACATATAGGATACTTTTTACCGCGGAAAAATATCTCATTTCTGAGAAAAATACGAAAACTGTAATGTAAGAGTATACTAATATGTACAAACTAAGAATTAGGTTTTTGGTCATCTGAACGCGGGCGGAGCCGCGGGCAATGCTAGTATATTGATAAAATTGACCTATCTCTATATAAAAAACACTAAATGTTTAAATTTTTTTTTCATAACACTAAAGCTCATCAATTGACACTAAACAAAAAAAAAACAAAATGAAATCAGTTGATAAACGTACTGAAATATTTCATCTTTGCCTATTTGTATATTATATGGATTCTGTCTAATGTTGCTTTTATCAGCGATGTAGATACTATTCGAACTTTGATCGTACTGGTTATCGATTTTAGATTTATTTTCAATGTTATCTAAATTCAACACTTAGGGGTTCACTGCAAACGAGAAGGGGACTTTTGCCCGATTTCACCAACAACCCATAAGCTACCTACGTAATGGATCCCTAGCTTAAAAGTCCCCTAACTATTCCCTAAATTAAATTTCGTTTTACGATCGTCTTTAAGCCTATATTTCGAGCACTTAAATTTAGGGGACCTTTTAATATTTAGGTGACCCCTAACTGTCGGTGAAACAGAAACTGTCCCCTAACAGCCCCTTACCATGCTTAGGGGATCCCTTAAACTTAGGTGACGTTGGTGAAATGGAACATTTATGTCATTGTTCATAATACTAGCATAAACTAATAAAATTAACTAAGGTTATGGTAGCTATCAAAACACACTTGAAATTGATGACATTGCAGACATTAATCTTAGGTTGGCAAAGGGTTTATGCAAATCTGACTTTAAGAAACGTGACACTCGGAATCATAGGCATATCTTATCATAAGTGAGCAGAAAATCACCCTCTACCATTCTTGTAAAGGGAAAAGGTCCGTCACCTTCACTCTACAAAAATAAAAATAGCAAATGAAAGCGTGGATATACAATAACATACATTATTATTTCAATAAAAGAACTTGTATAGAATGGCGTTTTACTAGCAATGATTCAAACTAGACGGATGTCGTATCTTTACAAATACGACTAAACTAGCAAATGCGAAGGACGGAAAGGAGTCGTAAAGTTTTTATGATTTTATTTTTATTCGCGCTTTCGCATTTGTGAATCAGTTTGTAGTTTTATAAAGACAACTGCCGTAAAAATAGTTATCTTTGTTATTATGTTCTGTTAAGTTCTAATAGATTGTAATTATTATTATTATTTTTGTAACTTCAGAAAATATACAATCTCCAAAATGCGGTAGTAAATACAGCTGCTATGAAAGACAATCTCGACCACCAGTACCAAGAGTTTACAGTGAAGACCAAGCAAGTAAGAGAAGACAGCGCTGCCCATTTCACATTTGCGCAATACCCAAGTGCAGACGAATGGCTTCTCACATCAGCTGGGGTGGAACTGGTTGCCAAGAGTGGGAACGCTTCAGTAGTTGCTGTACAGTATCATAATTTGGCAGCGCGATTACCCTCGTTGAGAAGATCGATAGAATTTAAGTAAGTTTCGTTTACATTACATTTCGTATACATATTTTGTTATTTCTTTGACCAACTTTAGAAAGGATGAAGTACTCAGTTAATTGGTTTTTGGTGTATACGTTACATTTGTTCACAATTGAACAGATTTTCATTGATTGATTATTTATTTTTTTATAAATAGGTTCTCAGGTTTGTAAAAATTTTAAGAAGTAAATTCATACCTGAGTGGAATAATTTTTTTCACAAATCACAATTTTTAAACGTTAATGCTCCTTTCCCGTTAATAGTACTATTAATAAAAAATTCGAAAGTATGGGAGATTTTTTGTTTCTTCGTGTATTCTCATTTTAATCTTATTGTTTTTAATTTACAAATTATTTTTTATACTTTCTTCATTCATAGTATTATGTTTTTGTTTTTCGTTTTGAGTTTTTTTTTATTTTTGCTTATTTTTTTATTTTTTTTCCTACCCTCGACGTACAGCACGTCAAATTCTAGGAACGGACGCGAAATGGAGTACCAGCTGGCGTCTGCCCAAGTGCAAATATCGGCAACCCGCAGCGACGCGCACACCGTCACACTACTATTTGTACATTCCCGTAATTACAGTGCTATAGGTATGTACATATATTATGTTATAATCATTTGTTTATATACTACTGCCACGCCCTTGCTTTGCTCAGTTATTTGTAAAGCTTTTTAAATTAATTCAAATTTCATTTAAAACAAAGTAAAAAAGATATTTACAGAAGAAACAATTTTCGTTTCGTTCGTTTCGTGTCGTTTTGGCTTTTGACTTCTAACAACTTGACGCGGACACGAGATAGACTTTTGAAATAATAGCATTTTATTCCATTCCAAGGTTATATCCCTATTTTTAACCCCCGACGCAAAAAGAGGGGTGTTATAAGTTTGACGTCGATGTCTGTCTGTCTGTGTGTGTGTGTCTGTCTGTCTGTGGCATCGTAGCTCTCAAACGGATGCACCGATTTCGATGCGGATTTTTCATTTGAAAGCCAGTTTTCTTACGGCGGTTCTTTGCTATGTTAAGTTAAAATCGGTCCAGCAGTATAAGAGTATCAGCTGTTTTCCGAAGTGATATAAGGCATTTTGGTGTATGAGTGTTTCACGCGTACCAGTTTAATCGTTAATTGACTATTAATTTACGTAGGGGGTTTTAATTTATAATTATACTAAATATATTACTGTACAAATTACCCCCATTAAGTAAGTAATTATAGATAGATAGTACCTCTCTCTATGAATATCTAATTTTTTTCTTAATATAATTAAATCATTAATTTCCAATCAAGAGATTCTTTTATAAAAGTCGTTACAAAATGTAAACAGTAGCCACCCAGTCCAATTTCGCTCCGATCGTCCTATACATATATTTAATCCTTGGACTTAATTAGAGTTCAGTTTTTAATTACATTCAGGGTATTCGAAAATTGTACTTCTAATATATTTTTAATTTTTACTCTTTTCAAGCCTCAAAGCTGGCCTGTGGATTGCGAACGCCCTCTGAGCCCAGGACATGGATAACGAAAGCGTGTGAAGTGCGGATCCCGGAGCCCACACACATCGCGTGTCGCTGCAGAGGACTCGGCACATACGCACTGTTTACTATAGCCAGGTCTACGCTTGTAAGTGGTCTTAGTAATATTTTTACTTTCATGAACATTGTTTATATTTGGATTTAATTATCAAAAAATGGACCTCGATTCTTCAAACGTAGGTACCTTGATGTCATGATGTCATATATCGATTACTTACTACGATTCTACTTTGTACTGGATTTCGTTGCTAAAGCTCTGAAAACAGCTACTTCATACTGGTTCAGACTTGACTTAATTGGTATAGAGGTAACTCTGCTTAGTAAGCAAGGCAATCAATACCGAAATTGTCTACTTACATTTTATTTAGGTTTCGAGGCAGTGGTAGCCCAGTGGTAACGCGCTTGCTTGGGAAACCGAGTGAAGCGGTTCAAATCCCGGGTCTCGCACCTCTGATATTTTCATGTGCGGATCATTTCTAACATGGTTACCACTTGCCTTACGGTGAAGGAAAACATCGTGAGGAAACCTGCATATCTGAGAGAACCTAGCAAGTTTTCGAAAGACATGTGAAGTCCGCCAACCCGCACTTGGCCAGCGTGGTGGACTATGGCCTAATCCCCCTCGTATTGAAGGGAGGCCCGTGCCCAGCAGTGGGACGTTAAAAAGCGCTGAATACATTTTATTTTGGCTAATATGAAAAATGACAGCATAACTAACGCTAAACGGTCCCCTATGTAAATAGCGAATGTTCACCAAATGTATGAGATACTGTGTTAATTAGAAACTAGTCATCCAAATACAGCAATAACTAGAATCCCCACTTTCAGACAGACGTAGAGAAGGATCTGCGTGGAGTAGTAAAGATTACAGTGGGTGTGGGTGGTGCGATGTGCTTGGCTGCTGCCGCGCTTCAGCTCCTGAGCCTAGTGCCAGGAGGTGTTGCACGTCTTCCAGTGCTTCTCAAAGCAGCAACCGCCGGTACCCACTCCGCTGCTGTGCTAACATTGCTAGAGTGTGATACGAGACAGGTAGGTAACTAATTTGTTATAAGTTGTTTCTAGTGCTGTTGAAGGTTAAATATAATATAAAAATTAATAAGTTTTAGATTAAAGTGTATGATATAAACATATGGATTTAAATTAGAATACCTGCAGGATTTGAAAGTCACGTCTGTGTTACACACATGGTTGTGTGCACTCCAAACAACTCTCGCATATGTACTCTAATGAATTTCGGACTTCGAAAAATAACAGTATATCTTGTGTGATCAAATACCATACCTTCAAAAATAACCTTATTTTAAACTTAAAATATTTGTCCATAACAAAATCAATACAAATGACATGAATTCATAAATCTCCTCACCGTTTGTGTATGGTAAGGAGGAGGCGTGCCCGGGCGCGCTGGGCTGGGTGTGCGCGGCGTGCTGGTGCGCGGGCTGCGCGGCGCTGTGCGCGCAGCCGCTGCTGCTGCAGGCGGAGCTAGCGGGCCACCAGCGGCTGCCCTCAGTAGCGCTGCTTGCCGGTACGTCTATAATTTATTCATCTATTTCTTTTTCGAATAACATGCGTATGATTTAATTTCATAATATAGCGTAATATTAATAGCAAATATATTTGGGGACTGTACTTCATTATCTTCACGTGTGTTCTATTTAGTTTACCCGTTATGACCTTCATTTTATATAGAAGTAAATAAAACGGAGAGTTCCAGCACTTAATTGATTAAAACTTATATGTATTTAAATTGAATTGCGCTAAATTTTATTATAATATGTAGGTTATTAAATATTGTTAATTATAACAAGTATCTATTAGTACGTAATAATCAAACATATGTAGGTATGTATGACTTAAAATTTTGTGTTGTAAGATATTTCTCGATGTTATTTTTATATCGGTTTTCAAGTTTTAGCTTCTATTTACACAAGATTTTCTATTACATTCTAATAATATAAAACAATGTTAAACATCAGCTTACATAAAAATTACATGTAAAAAATGTTAATATTTAGCATAAAAGGTTGACAGGATAAGTCCTTTTAATATTATTTAACATGCAATGTCTGTTATTTTTGGGATAAGTTGAAAAAACAATCTATACGTCCGTTCTTTATGGACTCCAAAATGGTTAAAGTGAAATTTTCTGGCAATCTTCAGATTAGCCCAGCGGGTGATCCTGTGAAGTATGGTAGCGATTGTAATGTAATCATAATGAAACTCTCCAGGCGTGTGCACACTAGCGTGGCTGACGGCGCGGCTGTGGGGCGGCGCGCCGCTGCAGCTGGGCGCGGCGGCGCAGGCGGTGTGCGCGGTGAGCTGCGCCGCGCTCGCGCTGCTGTGCCTCGCGCTCACGCTCTGCGCCGCGCTGCGCCTGCGCACCATCACTCACAAGGTGCCCGCTGAGAGGCGGACTTATCTACGCGACCGGTACGTCCATCATATTGATATAAAAAAACTCAAGATACACAATCAGCGTCTCAAGTGTTCTCAAAAAGAAATGCACGATTCAAAATTGAATTGCGCATTTTTCAAATCTCTTTTGTTCATTGGTTTTCGAATGACAAAATTAAAATGCACGTTGTTTGGCATAATGTGTTGTTGTGGCATAAAACACTATAAAACTGATAGAAAGAAATAAAAAAATGGATGATACAAAATGTATGTCCTTTCGTTTACCATGTAACATAGCAGGATAGACAGAATTATTAAACAAAAACATCAAATTTGCGAATTTTTATTTTGGATTAGATAGATTAATCTACTCTTTTATAAGTTATTAAATTAAATTATGCAATATAATAATTTCCACATGATGTGGTCCGGCAGGTCCCGCGTGGTGCGGCACACGCTGGCGGTGCTGGCGACGTGCAGCGCGGCGCAGGCGGCGGGCGTGTGGTGGGCGCAGCCGGGCCCGCGCGCGCTGCCGCACGTGCTCGCGCTCTCGGCCGCCGCACTCGCCAATGTCAGATACAAACTATATTTGTTGAATTAACTCCTTGCTATTAAATTTTATTAGCCTTTTCATTAGTCTCTAGAATTATTATAACACCGATATGATATTTTTTTGTATTTTATAAGGTATTTATTAGACAAGGTCAGTTCATCAAGCTTCGACCATTAGAAGCGAAACAATTATAAACTAACTGATGAGTAATTTTAACATAAAATCTGACAAAATGGATAGTTTTAACTTAAATTATATAGTAGGTATAACCAGTAGTGTGAAGTCTGGTTTCAGTTTGCCATAATTATTATTTCCAGGGAATAACAATGTTTGTGTGCTACGTGATTAGAGACGAGCAATGCTTACAATCTGCGAGACGTCTCCTCTCCTTGCCAACGAACCGAGACTGGCAAGAGTCTCCCGCAGGAGACACTTCACTAAGCTGTAATTACATCCATATTTGTACTATTTCTGCCCATGGCTTTGTCTGTTGTTATTACCATTAAGAACATTACCACTATTTATTCTTCCAATCGTCCCTTGAAGTATAACCTATTCACATAAGAAGAATTGTAAATATTGGTTCACATTTACGTATTAAGTACCTAGGTACATACTACGTCTTGCTTTAGAGTCGGTCAGAAAATGCTTCGTGTGCATATTACTTACAGGTACAATTAGCACAAAATGTATAAAAATAGAAATACTTACTGTTCATTGGTAAGCGTATCACTTGAGAACGGCTGGACCGATTAGAAAACTGAAAGTACTTTTTCTAAGATTTTTATATGGACTCGAAGATAAAAAAACAATTGGCAATTAGGTCAGGACAACGTATAAACGAATCAGCTTATTTTGAAATAATCAGTGTACAAAAATCATTTACAGTGTATATAAAGCAAGGCGGCGAGGTGGAGAGCCGCGGCGGCGCGGGCGTGATAGAGTCCAGCTCGTCGCCAGTGTCACCGCTCGCGTCCTACTGGCGCGCGCCCGGCCTTGAGAGCCCAGCGAGGATGCACAGGTAAAGCCTAGGTATACTTTGGAATCTTGGAAGATAATATCAAAAAGCTATTTCTAGAACTTCTTATTTTGTTATAACTTCTCTAGTAAATTGGGAAAATATGTAGAAAAACAATCATTTTTACTTAGGTTTAGCATTTTTGAAGCCAAACGCCATTTAGGAATCTTGTTTAAATACAGAAATGTTTAAATGATTCTTCGAGCCATACTGACTTCAGAATATTTAAATCTTACAGGAGGCAATCCACACCAGATAGCAGAGCAGACATTGTACGATGTGTCGAATATAAAGATTCATTATTGAGTCCATTGCGATACGACGGCCACCATGTGACGACCACACACGCGGTCTGCGATCTTATCCCCCACACTCCTCACAACCCTCACTCTCCACTCGCACCCCACGTCGCACAACCCGAGTACATGGCCCGAGTCTGTCTAGAACTTGGGGTCTTAAAAACCCCGCCAATAGAAACCCCTTTACTCACCTGTTCAGTAGACTTCGAACCGTACGATAAAACAATAGACACATCCAAAGACGCATGCACCATATGCGTGCAGTCCACTCCAGACGTATCCAAAATGACATCCCCACCTATAAAGAGTTGTTTAAAAAAGACTAAAAAAGACTTTTCATCGAGTATCTCCCTCCCGTCCTTGGATATGAACGACAAGTATAAATCAGACATAGAGCAAGTGAATAGAGAATGGAACAGAGCGTACGATTCGCCCGAGACGGACCGAATGCTCAACAAAATATCAGATGACCTGGATTTTCTCTTAAACCGGACACAAGACAAAAGTACGAAACATAACCAAATCGAAGAAGCCCCGACTTAGGGTAATATAGTGAATTTAGCATAATTCAAAATGGAAACAAGGGTGCATCATATGTACATAATTTTATATCGTGTGTAAAATGCAGTGTTAAGTTGTCACAATCAATGTAAATAGATATTGCAAATTTATAATTGACTGGAGACAGGTATTTATTTAGTTAACGATTTCTATCTTAATTTTTTCACAATTATGACAAGCTCAATTTTTTTTTATTTTAGGCATATTTCCATTACTCATTAAAATAAAATTTACTGAGTTTACATTTCACTTTTGCTCAAACATGAGTTTTATTTTAAAATAAAAATATATAAATACTAATAACTAAATCTATAACAAAAGTGAAAACTCACAAAGTTAATAATTATTAAAATAGATAAATATTAGTTAAGAAGTTATTTTAAGTAAAAAAAACTTTTAATGTTTTCAATGTATTATTTTTGCGGTGTGATAGAACTTAATTTTGAAATAATAACAAATAGAAACGTTTTAAAATTTGAAATATCGGTAGATACCAATATTGCAGATAATAAGATTATTAAGATATTGTTGTATTACTTACATCACTGTAAGAAAAAATCATCCCAATTTATTTTATTTTTTTAAGCATGGATATTAATTGTTAATTTCTAAATGCGGTCTTGATCCGCTTTAAAAATTTGTAAATAGTATAATATAATAAATTTAAAAAAATATTTATTTTTGTCGAGACCGAATTGAGACCGAAAGTATGAACGAGCTCTCTTTACATAACTTTGAAATGTTATTTATATAAATCAATGTAAATAATGTTTTAATTAAAAATCATTATGTAATTAATTAATACTTAATAATTCTTTTGTAAATAAAAATAGATAACTCTTCAAGGAAAATATACTCTCTATTATTATCTTTTTTTCTATCTTTATTTTTCTTGAGTTTACTGCAGTTTCATTTTTGTATTGTTACATAATCTATATTTTTAACTTTTATCCAAATTACTTAAATTAAATTTAAGTTCATGTCAATTTTATTTTCATAAAATGCTAGTCAAATTGTATTTACATCGATTAACATGTTAATTTTAATTAAACATGTAAAATTACAATATACGAAATAAATGTAGATTAAAAATATTTTTATTCCACCTGTCAAAACATTGTGATATATTTTCTCAATAATATTTAAAATTACGATTAATAACGGTATTAACTAATTACAACGTAAACAGTATTAGAGTACAAAATAATTTATTTAGATTTACGTTTTCAATTTAAAAAATGCCTATCAGGGCATTAAAAATATATTTAAAAATTATAAAACGCATACATATCTAATACAGAGCTAGAAAAATTCTTACGGCATACTAACATTTTGTTTAATTTCTACTACTTGCTTACTTAAAGTAACGACTTTAACTATTTTTGCAAATGCTCGATTTACTATGTTCACAGTGGCACGGGGCACCATACCTACACGTGCTTTGCCACTTTCCTAAAAACACTCAATGAGGCCATACACCTACAAGTATTAGATATGTATGTATTAAAGCTTGTGACGAATATTATATTTGGTATGTAAAGCAATTTGCAGCTCCCTACTTAAAGTTCTTTAATCATTTATGTTAAAAAAAAGTTTAATGCAACTGTATATACGAATGCTGCAGTTTGAGTATTTTCCTATTATATTATTATGTTTGAAGGTATACTTTTTAACTTTTATCAAATAATTTAAAGTGCAGATGCAATATCTATCGATTAATGTATTAATTATAGCAATGCTGCCTGAACATTTGCTGTAATATTCGTTACAAGATATTTCCACTTAGTTTTAATTAGGTATATTTGTGTTATATAGTGGAGTATTATAAAAAAAAGTTACCAACGCTCTATTTATATTTACTTAAAATTAGGATATTTTAATTATTTTAACCTTTCAGTATACGATTTAATTAAGTTTCAGATTCGAGCCTTTTTAAATCTTCTAATAATAGCGTTATTGTCCAAACAAATGTTTATAATCTACTGTAAATAAAATGTGTAAATACGTTATAAACAATTCTAAACGAATTATGTATACATTTTACGTTAAATCGAGTACGATATATTTTTTATTTACAATAAATTTTTTTACTATTTATTTATGTTGTTTTATTAAAAACTTTTACTTGATAAACTTGTTCTTCCAACCCAAAGCAATAATAGTAATTTAAAAAAATACTTACTTTTTGACTAAACATAGTACGACTTCAAAAATGTTGAATTTGAATCCATTAAAAGAAGAAATAATATAATTGAGAAATGATATCGGGTCATATATACAAAAAATATACACCCATTTGAGCTCCTCCCCCTTTTCGAAGTCGGTCAAAAAATAAAAAAGCTATTTGCTGAAGTTTTTGTACAATTGAAACATCTACTTTGATAAAATAAAATAATTTATCTTTTTATTAATTAAATTCTTTAAATGTGCCTAGTTTAATCATTTATTTTCGTCTGCCATCTACATTTCACAATTGATATCAATGGCTTGGTATAAAAGGTACGGTATGAATTTTAATGCTGGCGCTTCGTGGTCAGAGATCGACCACAATTCATTCAACAAGTTTGAACCGTTAAGATTGTTCTTGTCAAAGTTCCACTTACATAAATGCCTATAACAACAGATTATTAATTTAAAAGCATTATTTTGAATTGTATCCGTATTTCCTGAGATTAACACGGCAGACAAACAAGTTCTCCATCTTTGTTATATATTAGTATACAGTTAATAAATGTTATTTGGTTATCTAAACAAACCACGCAAGCGGAGCCACGGGCAAGTCAATAAATTTTAGCTTTTTGCACTCCTTCTCCATATAAACTTGATCTATATCAAAGCTCATTATTCATTCACACGCAGTATTCTTAAAAAGGGATAGCAAGTTTTGTCTTGCAATATTATTATATAGATCATGATCAAAACGGTTTGATTGCAAAGTACTTTTACACACGACCAAAAGCCTTCGCCTTTGAATTTCACAGTAAGTATATTTGTATATTGTATATATGAACTTGGAAAATTCCATAAAAAAATATTCGATAATACTTTTAAAACACAAAAAAGAAACTAAATAAAAGATAGTTGTGTACAAATAATAACAATTCCAAATAAAATCTTTATTAAAGATTAACACTGACTCGATTGAAAGGTCCTTATATCTAACATGTGGTTATTCATATACTATCAAGCTCAACATTCATTAGATTTTATAGACATAATATAATTAGTGCCAAATCTCGATTACCGACATTCAGAAACAAGAATATCCATATTAAATCAATACTTAATATTATAAATGTGAGTGTTTGTTTGTTTGTCCTTCTTTCACGTCGTAACGGAGTGAGGGATTGGCGTGATTTTTGGTGTGGAAATAGTTGGAGGGCTATAAGTGACATAAGCTACTATTTACCGCGAGAGATTATCTCATTGCAAAGGGAAAATAGCTTAAAATACAATCCAAAAAAAAATATTTATGATCAGAATTACTTGAAACTTGGTATTAATACTCTTCAATATATTCATAAAGGTGTAAAATAGGGGATGAAAGTTCATATGAAATCTACCTATTTAGAGTTTTTTGTAGTTTTAGCGCGCGCGAAGCCGCAGGTTCTGCTAGTTTAGATATAATTTCAATAAAAAAGGTGTGTGTACAAAGTACACATGTTAGAAGTGAAACCTTATTGGTTATATTAATCTATTCCGTACTAAACGTTAACACGTACATAGGGACGAACCCGAGCGAGGCGTATTTTTGCATATTTAAAAACAGATTAGTAAAAATAGTCATCTTTGAAGTTAGCAACGGAAATAATGTATATCACAGACAATAACAATGGTTACTATGGCAACCTAATGCTAGTGACACAGGCATGACGGTTTTTCGTGACGATTTCTCATGACGCGGCCTTTTAAATTCAAATTTTACTCTCATGCGCGCATAGAAGTCAAAAATTCTAAATATTAAAAAAACAGACATATAAAAAGATAAATTATGTAACAAATGATTTTTATCGAGCCATTATAAATAATTGGTGATGTTGGCGATATATGTAGATAATATATGAGATTAATTGGCAAATTTAATTTGTTAAAAAATGTCGTATACATTCTAAAAACCAGTAAAAAAAATTTAGAATTCTTGTCTCTGAATGTTATTGTATAACATATTTTTGTATACAGATAAAATACGTTATATTCTCTATATTATTAACGTATCACATAAAACTTATCAAGATACCACATAATATGCACTGAGTAGACAAGCTGTAGGAAGAACTGTAAGAATAATATATGTACTTATTAGGAGTAATATCTAATAATGCCTGTACAATGTACATAGAAATCCATTACCTTTGTTATTGCATATTCTAACTTTTAGCATACTTTTATATACTGTTTGTATGTAAATATTACCATTTAGTGTTTCATTCTCCTTCATAATATATAAATCAATTACAGAAGCAAATAGCAAAAATATTAGAAACCATCTAATATTACTGTATTGCTAGAAAGGGTTTGAAAAGGACATCATAGCAGCACGAACATACATACATATTAATGTACATCTATCTCCTTCTCACACCATGCCCGAAAACCAACGATTATACTTAATTGGTCGTCTGAGTTATTGGGGATAACATGTGAAAATATATACATATGTATAGTATAAAATATAGCACTAAATTAGGTATTCCGAAAGGATAAAATATGCCACAAACTTCCTTTTTTTGTAAACGTATTTAAAAAGCTTGCCTACTCTATATAAAACACATATAAGCAAAACTCAATGTCAGACATTTTTATATATATATTTACATTTAACCAAACTATAGAAGACGACATATCGGTGAACAGATAACTTTTGGTAAATTTATTTTATCTACTTATTTACATTTATAGAACAGGGTCAGTTTAAAAGTTAATTAGGCATCGGGTTATAAAAAATCCTTTTAATATATTTAAGATAATATCGAAATGTATTACTGTATAATTTAAACGGCAGTATTTAAAACTATATAAAGCACAGCTCTCAGCTTGATTTTGTTTCAATCTTCAGTTTTAAGCCCGCCATACTACACTAATATACAATGGGTTCAATTCCGTCTTACCATAAGGGCACACGGGGCACATGCTCAGGGCCCCTAGCCTCACGAGGGCCCCGAAAAGAAATCATTTTCATTTAAATGGAAAATATAGAAATCAATTTTTTATTTTTAATACACACTACACTGTATACTATAGAGTATAGACTGAATAGGACTGAATAATATTGTGTTCCTTCGTTAACTTTCCATCTCTTTATTAGCTGACTTCTTTAAGCCATTAAGTTTTTATTTTTTATTTTTGTAAGTAGTTAACTTAATTTTTTTGTCATTCAAATTTTTTCACCTTTCAAAAAGGACCCTAAATTGTGTGCCTAGGTTGAGGCATGGTTTAAGACGACCTTGAATTTGTTTCCAATATATGCCTTATCACATCAAAAATGGTTAAGTATACATTTTCTCAATTATTAAATAACCCGATGTCTATTCAACATTAATATAGGCAATACAAGGAAAAGTATTTTAGACTAATTAATTTCAATTTAAATGAAACTATGTTTTCGGATTTTTTCCGCGAATTTATTTTGATTTGTTAATTTTAATTTTAAATTCATATTTAATATAAAAATTAACAAATATTGTAAGGTACTTTGGTGTCATTTTATGTATTTTTTGAAATCACTTTATAATTTTGTAGTTATGTAATGTCAGTAACCACTAATGTCATGTATGACCACATTCGAAACGCCGGGAACTAAAGATCAAAAAGAATCCGCAAAAAAGTCCGAAAAGATAGTTTTATATAAAATATTTTCGTAAGTCTAAGAAAGTATTAAATTCATTTAAATTATAAAATTGCCTTAATATTGAGTTGCAATTTTTTCTCCGCAGTTGTCGATGCGTATTAACTCGACCTTAGTTAACTAAAGTCACAAGTAAGATATTACAAAACGCTATCTAAATATAAATATTTTTTCAACATATGGACGAGTGGAACTTCACAATAAGTCAAATTCACGTAACATACAGACTGTACATAGATTACATTTATATTATGAGGTTATATAAAATACGAAAACAGATAAGCAATTATTATATTAAAAAAAATAACCTGCCAACGATTAGATAAAGCTGTTCAATTACATTATAACAGAGATGCAACGGATATCCGGTTATGATTACATTCGGTTATATTCGGCTTTTAGATACATTTTTCATTGTGGCAATTACTTTAATTGACTAATTTATTATTTTATCTACATTATATAGAGTTTATATTTGAAAATTATATTGCTAATGAGGAAGCCATTGCATCTCTATATACAGACACATTCGTAAAATATCAAACCTAACTGCATCTTGATATTTTAGCAATGTTTTAACATTTAACTAAAGCACAAGTGATAGGATGGCTAGTTTAACATTAACAAGATTACATCTAACTAGATCCTCTATCTAGTGCTAAATTCATTTTAAATGTGAATTCAACTAATTATTTGGTCTAAAGCAAAACAATTTGGAATGTAATGTCACACATGCCACCCTATCAACGGCAAAAGAGTTCACTTCTCAACGGGCCTCGAAGGACCAACATAAGACAACCTAAACAACAAACAGATCATAATTTACAGTTTATCATCTAATATCACTCGCCGTGACCTCGTAAGGGTGACACCAAGCATGTACTTTAGTTCATATAAAACTCCGCAAATACATTCGTTGCCCACAATAGGTAGGGACGAAGTACCTCACTCTAATCGCGCATATCTGGAAACCAATGAATCAAATCCTTATCACATGGACAAATGAGAAAAATCATTTAGGTATCGTTTTTATTACGGGATTATGTTTATCAAACGTGATAGAAGTTATCACTTGTGTTTAGTGTTTTTCTATTGACCACTTCCATCATTTAATAATATATTTATTATTCAACAACACATTAATAATAATAATTAATTATTCAATATAAACTGTTAAAGTATCTCGCTGACTCATTCAGCAGAACTGTTGTCGGAGCCGGTGGTAACTTCTTAACAAACTCACATACTGACATTTAAATTAAAAAAAAATATATATGTAAAATTGGAGAATTCAAAAGTGCTTGTCAGAGTATTTTTGAATTAAGTTATAATTTGATTTGATACTAATCAATATATTTAAATATCGTGGAAAATATTATATATCGCAAGTCGGTTTCTTTAGCTTATTCCAAACTTTCTTTTGAAAAATAAAACATGTCACTTTTTTTTTCTTTACGTGTATGTGTACTTTATTGTTCGGAGTAAACTTATGATTGTGTGCACTAGGAGCTAACAATGATAAATTTACTCCGTACAACTTCTAAAAAGTTTGTTTATTTGTCTTTCTCAATGCGGCTGATTTGGATGAAATTCGAAGCCAAGCGCAAAATCTAGTTTTACAAAAACATCATTATATTTAATCCCTCCACGACCGCGGATACGCCGGCGTTATAGTTAACAATAGATTTCTTAGAAATTTAATTAATTTCTTAGAAATTTACCTGGAGGTGTTAATAATGTTATAGACGGTTTCTATATTGGATACAAATAAGAAACCTTATTAATAGCAATTCGTATACCACAGAAGAAATATAAACTCAATTTCTAAAATGATATTTGGTGAATTTATGAGTAATTAGATCTGCGGTTCATTGTTGCTAGTCAAAATTCTAAGACTAATTAAAACAACAGTACAATTTGCCACGGCCTTGACATTATCATGCGACGCGCGCTAATTACTCACGATATTATTTTGATGAAAAGTTACTGACTGCTGGAGACGGCATGACAATAAGTCAAACTTTGTATTTATTATTTCTTGTCCCTGTCTTATTATTGCATTTTGTCTATTATAATATTATAAAGAGGAAAATTTTATTTTTTTGTTTGTTTGTATCGAATAAGCTCCGAAACTACTGAACCGATTTAGATGCAATTTGGTAAGAAGATAGTTTGAAACCCTGGGAAGGACATAGGATAGTTTTTTATCCCGGTAATCATCCCTTAAAGAGGGTGAAAATGGGATGAAAGTTAGTATGGGGAGGCAACCCAGGGATGAATCAGAGCGAAACAAGGGTGAGTCGCAAATAGTTTATGAAATGAAATAAAACTTAATTCAAATAGACTTATTGCAAGTACTTTTGAATCGTCAATTTAGAGCGTCAGTGTAGTCAGTCTGTGAGGAAGCTACCACCCGCTCAAAAAGAGGCGGCAAGAAACTCATCAGTCGGTCTTTAAAATAAATTAACATTTTTATATTTATCAAGCTCATATTATAAATGCTAAAGTTTGTGTGTGTGTATTTTTGTTACTCCTTTATGATAACGGCTGGATGAATTTGGATTATATTTAGTACCTACACAGATAGACTATAACTTAGTCATATAGGCTTCTGTTAGTAATAAAATTTACCAACAGGTAGCGTTTCCTGTACATAATTTGATTAATACAAAACATACGGACAACCCGAGTGAAGCAAGGGTAAGACGCTAGTAATAAAATAATACTATCAGGATAGTCAGCTAAAGTAGATAATATGTATAGGCTTATGGGATTATAAAAGGTACACAAAAGGTACAGGTACGATATACAGTTTCGTTGTCAATATTGTGTTTCTTATACGATCATCTAAAAAAATCAATAAAAAAAATTGTAGGTTTGATTCCCATACGTTAGGCAATTTACTTATTAGTCACAGATGTTTTAATAATTAAATTAAAAAAAAAACAGATAAGAGAACTTCACCCACATCTTATCATGAAAAAGAAATTATAATTCATGAAATGACAAGCAAATGTAGCATTTTTGGGACTTAAAATGAATTTTACGAGTACTACCCACTACCTAACTACCCACATCCGCCAACATGACGTACTAAAATAATTTGTTGAGTGCAAAGAGTGATTACATTTCCTATATCGTGATTGCAGAATTAAAAACAAAGTTACACACTACTTGTATGTATTTATTTTATGATAAAACTAAGCCTGTGTTAAACATTAATAAACATATGAACACTTCAAGTACACTGTAAAACTAGTCATGTTCTAGAAGATTAAAAGAAAATGTAGGCGTTATGATATCATTGCAAGAAATCATCTTATTAAACTGAATACATAAAGCAATTTTTCAAAGGAAATAAAATTTGGCGCTCTGCATTTATATACTAGCGAATTATCCTCGATTCGCTCGATATTTGGTAGGCGGTAGTCTACCATTTTGTATACTGATTTCTGTACCCTGAGGTTGCCCGGAAGAGATCGCTTCTAGCGATAAGGCCGTTTGCTGTGCATCTTTTCTTTTTATGTATATTTCTCGTCCTTACGTATTTATTGTATGGTGTGCAAAAAAATGTCTATAAATATGTCAAACATATTCACCTGCGCTGTCTCGGCCGCTACAATTGAAACAAGTCATCGTGTGCTCTCTCCAAGCGTTTGAGGGAGCTATCTACTCGGCGGCTCTGAGTGAGGGCGGAGGGCGGCGGCGGCAAGGGCGGCGGGATGACCTCGTTGTACGACGTAGACGCGCCCATCGAAGCCGACTGCCTAAGTCGAGCAGTTGGCCGGTGCCTGACGAAACCATCTTCCAGATCTTTCACAAACCTGGAATTTTTGTTAAAATTGGATTTTAAAAATGAAAACATTTTAAATTGATTTGTTTAATTGTAGCATCTTAAAGCTATCTTTCTTACAGTGTTAGCATTGCCCAGAAGGGAATCATACGAATTAGTGCAAATTCAAAAATATGCTTTTTCCTTAAATAGTTTATCATTTGCGCTGCCACAGTACAAAAACCCCAAATAGATAGTACGGAAAAACAGCAAGCCTGTGGTTAAGGAAGTAATTATATAACAAGTGTCTTATGACGTGACGTTTGCATTTATGGGCAAATCAACTTATTTCATCAAAAACAAAATTTAAGTTCAGTATTACAACAATTAACTAACTTTATAAAATGTAAAAGAAAAAAATTAAAAATTTATTATCGTATTCCCAAGCGTAAGCCACGTGACACGATATAGAAAGTAATTTGAACGTTGTTTACTTGCCAGCCTAATTAATTATCAATCGTATGAAAGACTATCTCTTTATCGCTACTTTACGTATCAACATCTGTTATCGTTTCTTAATGAAATATTCAAATTGTGTCAAAAATCAGAGCAGTAGTATATATGTACAAAAATCTTATGCAAACTTTGCTCGTAGATTTATGTCTTGTAAGTTATTTATGTTTCGTAAATGTCTTTAACTTTAATCTAACATGATAGTATTTTCAAAATTATCAAAATATTTTTATCGTTCTACGAAAGATTAAAATAAAAAAATATTGTATATGTATGAGAGAGTTACTGTGTTTTTGTCAAAAATCAAAGCGGAATCCACACTAATATTATAAATGTGAATGTGTGCTTGTTTGTTTATTTGTTTGTGTTTGTCCTTCTTTCACGTAAAAATAGAGTGACGGATTGGCGTGATTTTTTGTGTGGAGATAGATGGAGGGCTGGAGAAGTAACATAGACTACTTTTTTACCGCGGCAGATTATGTCATTCCCACGGAAAAACACGTTATAATACCACACAGTAAAATATTTATGATCACAATTACTCGAAACTTGGTATTATTGCTCTTCAATACAATTAAATAAATACCAGTTTTAACATTTTTCGAAATTCATCCCATAAGGAGGTAAAATACAAAAAAGTTATATATAAAACTTTGCTCGTAGATTAAAGTCTGAAACCCTATTCTAACATGGCATTTCCAAAATAATCAAAACATGTTTATCGTACTAAAAAAACATCGCATAAATACTGTGTATGTATAAGACCACTCGAAATAACAGCAGGACAAAGGCATTATTTATAGAGCGCAAAACGGAATTAGGTTCACACCGTCAGTCAATTGACCACTCACGACTTCCTTTTTCAACACTTATTTTAGACCTTATCACATAGGAATAGTGATTGATATGATACACTCAGTTTATAAAATATTTAAGTGTTTATAACTGAGGTCATAAAACCGTCGAAAGTCTGAACGCTGTTATGAAAACATTCACATATTTCACCACGATTCATCATGAAGTTTATCTTAAATAGTTACATATAATAAAATTGTAACTAAGCCGAATCTGTACATTAAATATTTTTTGGAAAATATTATTGAAATAGACATTATTATTGATACAAAGGCCCAATCTATTGTTTTTAGAATTTTTATCTGTCTGTCTGTTTTACCGTATCACAGAAAAACCACTGGAGGGATTTTGATGAAATTTGGTATGGTGATAGCTGGTTATCCGGTTCAACATATAGGATACTTTTTACCGCGGGAAAAGATCTCATTTCTGAGAAAAAATGCAAAAACTGCAATGAAAGAGTATACTAATATGTTAAAACCTAAGAATTTGATTTTTGGTCCTCTGAACGCGAGCGGAGCCGAGGGCAATGCTAGTAGTTACATATATTTATGTATATCAAATATGATGCGCAACTCACGAAATAAAACTCAGACTTCGAATACTTAAAAGGCGTATTATTATTATTATTATAAATTATGTAACTCATTATTTAAAAAAGCAACTGTTTAGTATCTCGCAGGCTTTTCTGAGCAGAAATGCTTTCCGAGCCGATGATAGCTTCCACACGGACAGACATAATGACGATTATAAAAGAATTAAGTTGATATTGCAAAAGTACTGAATATAAGTATATAAGAATGCAATGAATATCTCGAGATTTTATTAGTGTCATCCTACATGACAATTTTCTACTTTTAGCCAGCAAATATAATTTATTAAAAATCTTTATAATACTTATTTTATCAAAAAAAATATATATTTTAGAACATTTTGTATTAAGATTGACTTATCTATATTAATATTATAAAGAGGCAGACTTTATTTGTTTGTTTGAACGCGCTAATCTCGGGGACTACTAATCAATTTGAAAATTTCTTTTTGCATTAGATAGCCCGTTTTATGAGGAAGGCTATAGGCTATATATGATCATGCTACTACCCAGGGGAGCGGAGCAGTAATCATAAATGCCAACAAATCGGACAGACTTCCCTACATTACTCGTATTACTAATAGCATAAAGCCAAAGACTTTTTGTAATTTTAGCGCGAGCGAAACCGCGGGTTCTACTAGTTTAAATATACAATACAATATGTATATTGTATACGTATCAATTTACGCAATATGAAAAATCAACCGCAACCATATTGATCCAGACACCTTGCCAAGATTTTCCTTGTTATAAAATACTAAATTATAAAGCATTGATGTACATCTATACATATAATAAAATTGTAACTAAGCCGAATCTGTACATTTAATATTTTTTGGGAAATCTTTTTGAAATAAACATGAAACGCGGAGCTGCGGGCAATGCTAGTATAATATATATACTATATTATATATCTTACATGAAACGTAACAAAATCGACAGTAATTCTCACTTCATTTTAACATAATATATGTACTTATTTAACTAATTACTTGATTTATTCTATTATTTGCAGTTACATCAATATTTAAAATGGAATTAATTAAAAAGTATTTATATAATAAACTAGCGGCTCACCCTCGGTTCGCTCGGGTTTGTCGCTAGGTACGTTTTATATAGATATAAATAGTTATAAATTTTAATTTTTTATTTGTTAATAATATTGACAAATATTGACATTAATATTTATACGATTCTAACGTCACTCAATTGCCATCAATGTTTTGCCTTCCCCGGAACCTCTCCACTAACACCTTAAACTTTATGTTATGGTATTAAAGTTCAATTTGACTTTTAGGTATTACTACGAATCTTTTGTATGGCAGTATAGAAATGTGTTGTTTTTAGACTTTTTCAGGCATTTTTTTTAATTTTTCTCTCCGTCAGAAAGATCCTCGTACTTAAGGAATATTCTAAAAAAAGAATTAGCGAAATCGGTTCAGCTGCTCTCGAGATTTGCGCTTAGCAACATATTCAGCGATTCATTTTTATATTATAGATGTAAACTTAAGAAAAGCACTCGCACATGGAGTGGTTTTCTTTACATACATATATGTATTACACTATTTTTGGTTATACATTGAAATTTGAACGAAAAAACATCCAATGACGCTTTGTGTTAACTGTTGAACACAAAACATCACATAGCTTTGTGGACTATAATATTATGCTCAATGCGCATTATCATTCCCTATCATATCCTACTGATATTATAAATGCGAAAGTTTATGAAGAAGTATGGATGTTTGTTACTCTTACACGCAAAAATTACTGAATTTTTTGTTCTTTCGTTTGTTCGTTTGGTTGTTTGCTTGTTTGAACGCGCTAATATCAGGAACTACTAATCCGAATTAAAAAAATTCTTTTTGCATTACAACCAGTTTATTGAGGAAATTTTACTTAAGGAAGCAGAGCAGTAATATACTATGTCAGCTATTTCATACTAACCGTTAAAACATACCTAGGGACGAACCCGAGCGAAGCGTGGGTGAGGGCTAGACTGTTATTTTATTCTATTAATTAATAAAACGGAACCTTTGGCACCCACGCAGGGTTCAAAGTCTTCGTAAACATAGGTTTAAAAAAACACGTGGCTATTTTCATATGTCCTTATTACAACATAAATGTCATGCCGTCATGACCTAGAATTCGTTTTGCGTGATACAGTGAAGTTAGTTGCAATGTTGTCTTTCAAATTTCATTATTAACATTTTAAATATTGCTTTTATTTTTTAATTGATTTTGTTTCTTAATTCTTATATTTCCTCATCGGTCTAGTTTAATCTAATATGGTTTAACTCAGTAATCCAGGCTGGATTTGGGAATTTGACGGCGTTTCACCCCCATTATATATATTTCTATTCGTATAGACCAGCCATACTCCACCTTTTTTTATAGGAGCCACAAACACGTTTCAGTCATGATGTCGAGAGCCGCAAGCAAAAATTAGTTAGGTTTTAATGAAAACGTAATTCCAAGTTAATGATGTAGTTACTTTTTTATCAAAGATATGTTATAATGCGATTTTGAATGCTGCCGCATGCGGCCCGCGGTTGCAGGTTGAGTATAGGTAGCCTAGACTCTAGGCGATAAGGGAAGGGAGATAAATCAATAAATGATTATTTCCGTCAAAAACAATTATTCCGTTAAAAAGCTTACCAAATTAAAAATATAACGAAAAAATACTTAATCACAACATAAAAAAAATACAGGTTTACCTAGATCTTAATTCAGCTAACAATAACTTTTTTTACAGAAGTAATAAAATCACATAATAATAAATTATTTTTAATAATTTCTCTTTTATGAATGGCTAAAAATATGTGTATACTATCCACTCGTTTAATATTACATACATCTATGGCACTTGGTTCAAAGAACAGGGAGACCACAGAGAAAAGGGGTTGCCTTCATAGGTCATCGAAGTTTAATCGATCGGTTAAGTATTAGAGGTCAAAGGTTGCTGTATCGCAATGAAGACCAAAAATAGAATTTTACTAGAAGAAGACCATGAGGTTTTGTCTTATAGGTTGTGACGCTATCTATTTATAATACACTACCGGTTTAACCTCGCTTAACATGAAGAATATAGACAAGGAGTCCACCATGGGACCATATTTGCTAAAACTCGTCGAAAACAAACACTCAAAATTGAACATCCACAAAATCCGAAAAGATAGTCATTTATAATCATCTATTCATAATAGTGTAATAAAGTTATTACAAATTCAGGGTGGAACAATTTTAAACAGTAATGTTAAAGATACCTATACTTTAAATAGAAGTACATACGCAGGTGTAAATTAAAGACATAAACTGATTCATAACAATTCATAACAACAATCAAGCTGTCTGTTCTATGCGATCACGTATAACGCAAGGGTCTCTTTGGTGTTTGTGGGTTAAATGGGACAAGAAATAGTGAGCCGATAGTAGTTTACGTACGTTCATATAAAGCACACAAGCCCACTTTTAATGGACTATAAGCAACAAAATTAAAAAGAAAACCACTACGTAAATAAATTATTAAATATTGTCATTTTAATATGGTTTAGACTTTAGATGAATATGTTCTTTGGTCTACCCTGTCTTCAATTAGCAACGGCATAATTTTTAACTCGACTGGAGCATTGCCTAAAAGAGAGTCATGTGTTTAATCTATGTGTATGCTGTCCGATCCTATGTCTTCTCATGATTATTAAACGGCTTAACCGATTATAATGATTCATACATCGTTAGATACGTCTTGATAACGTGAGTGTTATAGGCTATATGAATATCATTAAAAATCAAAATGGCGATTTTCATGCGAATCTTGCTACATGTATCATGTATGTATGTATGTATGTCTCAGACTACATAATACTATGTTTCTTCGCAACTTGTTTCCATATTGTTAGTTCGTTTTTTAGGCAGTCGGGTTTTTATTTTTAAATAAAGTTAATAGGCGATACCAAACATTAGTGGGATAAGGAGTAGTATTTTACGTAATTCCCTAAATGTGCGAATAAACAAAGCAAAGGCTTGCCACTAACTAGTAACGAATATATTTTCACTTAATTTATTCCTCAATAGTATAGATCATGAGAGTAATAACCTGTTTTATTATGAAATTTAAATTCAATTCTATTTATACACTGTTGCTTACGTTGAAAAAATATTAGGTTACTGTGATAGCTTACCTATTATTATTTTTTAGCTTTGTGATATCTTATGATATGCCATAAAGCTAACTAACCACTGGCTTTATATTTATAATTTGGCTGAAATAATATAAATATAGGGTGACTGTCTGTTTGTCTCCCGTTACCCCACAAAAAATACAATCGACAAGGATGAAATTTTTTACAATGATAGTTTGAAAACTCGCCACAGTTATAGCCTCTATTCAAAAAGATAACTTCAAAAATATAGTACAATATGTATTTAGTATACTTATTACTTGGAAAAGAAATAAAATGGCAGTCTACGACGACTAATATGAGAGATCTACGTAATCAATTTTGATATAAATTGAATATCGAATTTTCGATTTGGATAGCGCGTTTCAATTTTATTTAAACACTTTAATTACTTTCTATTACATTCTTTGCCGCAATTATTGATAATAATAAAAAATCGAAATTACAAAAAATTAATTATATATATCCCAAAAGTTACTAATTATTACGGAAATTAGTAATGCCTGAGAACATCCTGTAAGGCACTAAAGATAATTCTTTACTAATAAAAAAATATATAAAGCATCAGCCATAAGATGAAATAAAAATACACAAACACAAAAGCGTGAGTTGGCTATTGTGGAAAATAACTTATTGTACATAAGAAAGGCCCGCGAGCCGCGCCATTCACCGCCCGTCATGTGACCGGCGCAAGCGCATATAAAACGACATCCGCACTTTTTGCATAATTGCAAATGCAATAAAAACTATAACTTAGTGAATTAAACTTACTTTGCACTAAAATTTCGAAAATGTTTAACAATGTTAAAACTACTGTACAGAGTCAAACAGATAACACTTCCGATTTAAAATTATTGTAAAAAAAATCAAAAAAAAAACTTGCATTGATGTCCTGATACATAAAAGCAAAAAAATCTATGTTCTAGTTTCAGAAAACTTATTATCACACTAATATATAATAAGCAAGAAAGTTGGAAAAAATAATAATAATCTAATGTGAATTTGTTAGTATTTGATGTTAGATAATAAACATAATAAATTAAAATATAACACACAATTTTAAAAATGAAATATTCCCTTATCAACAAATAAAAAATTATCAAAAGTTATTTTTAGTGCCCCTGTATTTAGTTTGTGATATATTATCTGTAAAATATTTGCGTTTTAATGGAATTTTACAAAGATTTGTCTATGCCATTTAGTTTGTACCTATTATAATTTTTAACCAATAATGAATTGTGTAAATATGACAAAATTGTTATGTTAATAACACATTTATTTAGTTCACTGCCCCCAAAGTGGAACATTCTGATAAGTTTATGAAATGAAGATATTACATGTATGTACATTATAAGAATGTAATTTTATACAGTGTATATTTTTCTTTTCTACATCCTGTTATATTTCAAAATAATATACAATATTGCATAAGCACTTTTTTTTGTAATGATCAAGGTTTTTTTTGTTGTAACATGCACTTATAGTAAAAGAAATGAAAATGGATATATGTATTTGATCTATTGATATATATAAACACATGCATAACTATGCATCAATCATCAACAAAAAATATTTTAATGAAACATAAAAAAATATTTTGTAGGAACACCTAGTACTTTCAAGTTGGAATTAAAATTACATAATATGTGAAAGTAATAGATTCATTAATGCGATACAAAGAAAGAATATACTAAAAGTAATACTTACTCGCTATTCTCCTTGGTCTTCTCAACGTGTTTTTTTATGTTAGCAATAGAAGAGTCTAATCTGTTTAAAAAGTTATCAAAGGACTCTTTTTCATCTGGACTACCGGGCGAAAAATCTCTTGTGGGCATTCCTGCTATTGAAGCACGATGGCTTGGAGGTGCAGGTTCCGCCACTCTTTCACCATTCTCATAAAAAGGAGAATCCTTAGTCACAGGAATTAACAAATATTCCCTCAAAAATAAACTATCCGACGCAAATAGACGATTGGCCCGCCTAATCTTCTCCATCTATAATTAAATATATTCACTTTTTTAACAATATTACAAAATAAACTCATAACAACACAATTATTATGATCTTCATACACTTACTGTGACACCATATTTCAAAGCGATTCCTTGTAAAGTGTCACCTTTGGCCATTACATGTTTAATGTATTCTTCATTCCTCTTCATGTGATTGCATGTGCTCCCGTATTTCTTTAGTGGTCGAGCAGATTCTCGTATCGAAACTCGCTCATCAAAAAGACGATCCTCCTCCATATTTGACGTAAAACAAAATGACATAAATGTGAATTGAGATTTGTAAAATGACAAAAAAGCAACAGCAATGAAGAGAGTAAACAATAATGACGTGAAGTTAGACGCATACACTTGGAGTTGGCACAGAGTGGTTACAAACTACGTAAAACACTGACATATGAGCCATCGGAGTTACCATACATAAAACATTTTCAAATATCTTCTTTTTCTTATTAAAAAGCCTCAATATTTATAAATCGAAGTCGTTATATATATTTTGTAAATATTTTTGTCATAGAATTATTAAATATGTCAAATAATAAGTGTATGTAATAACAGATGGCGCTGATGTCATACTGCCAATCTTTCAATCATTCCATACTCATGACTCACTCAATACGCAGTGAACGAATTCCATTCGGTCAATCAATCAGTCTTTCGAAACATCAGGACGCGTGTGGTGTGTTGCCGTGACTGTTTAAAAAATTGAGTTGTTATGAACTAATGATTTGTGGTAATTTAAATTTTGTGTATGACATTTTGTGTTTAAGAATAATTTTATTTTTCAATTTGTTTAAATTCATTAGTGCTTAAATCTGTTAAAAGAATTTTTTTACTTTCATTTATACACATGTGATCAATACAACAATAATAATTATCGTTGTTGATTTATTCATTAATGAGGGTAAGTATGAATGAAATTAGCAATTATTGTCAACTAGTGGATAAATAATAATTTTTAAAATTAAGTTAGTATTGAACAAATGTCATGACTGGGTTTCTATTTCCCCGCAGTCCGTGCAATACCAGCCGCCCTTCCCGGGTTGCTGGCGAAAACATTGCGAGGGTTGAGCCTCGGGGTTCGGGCGCAGTCTCGCAAACTAGGCAACTTTTATTACCATGAAGCCATATTTCGGGGGTTTACATGTTAACGGGTGTGACCCTAATGAATTGTATTTGTATATTGTAAACGCGATATCCGTTTACGTTAAAGTACTTTAAATTGTTCATATAAAAACTCGACAATCAGCTGTATAATTGGGTTACTTGACGGGGCGAAATTATTGCTTAAATAAAAATAAATTCGTCGGCGTGTCGGCGTAAAGGACCCGAAGATGTATATTAAACAAACGTAAACCTATTGAAAAGCTTGTTTACTTATTAAAAATTCCTCGACAAAGTTGACATTGCTATATCTAAGTGTCTACTTGTAAAGGGTAAACAATATATTTTATTCATAAAATAATCATTTTGTGTACAGAACGGCACAATTTTGTGCATAACGTTCCACCCTCATCTTACACATGTAACGGCCGCTTTAAACGAAATGCATATTTCAATGAGCTTTTCTTTTTCTCAATCAAGTGCAAGCAAACGCCTTGCACTTGTGAATTGTCACTCCACAACGTTACATGCCTACTATAAAATGCGTATTGATTTTCGATAAATACATGCTTTCCAGAGTGCACATCGCGTTTGTTTACAATTCTATAGCTAGGCTAGGTATATGTTTTAATTAACATTGTAACAAAGACTTACCATCCATCCCATCTTCGTCGACCATCTTCTTTTATAAATTTTAGTATAATGAAATAAATTACATAACTGATCATCTTTTTTCGTTTTTATGTACATTTTTAGTAGAATAGATTATAATAAATCGTCCATTTGATCGCTTTCTAATTAAGTGACGCTATCCAACATCTGTGAGATCCGTACAACAATTGCTATGGACGGAAATCGAACTTATGATCTCTTACTTCGCATCGTAACAATGTAACGTATGAATATTATTTTAAATATTTTTTATTATCTTTTCGGATTTTTTCGCGGATTTGTTTTGATTTTTAGTTTTCGAAGTTTCAAATGCTTTACAGCGATTATGTTCAATTAATTGCTCATGGGAAAACTCTAAAATTAAAAGTTTTACTACTTATAAATTATTGTATTATCACCATTCTACTTTTAACGTAGTTTATTCCATATATTTATATATCAAATAAGCAAAATGGGTGTGGATAACTTTATGGTTATTTGGTTTATTTTCTTTTATACTTTTTTAATAATATGAAAGGTCTTACTGTAAACGTAATAAAATGCGGCAGGATATCTAGTGCATTGATAGGGAGGCAATTCGTTTAACCGAACCAAGCACGGATGGCGTCATCGGATGCATCGATGCACAAGTGCTAAAGCTAATATCGGCACTGAGAAGTAAGAGGGAAAGTTCGTAGGAACAACTGATCTAATTCTCAAAATTCTTTTAATAATAGGTTATTTATATCACAAAAAAAATTGGCGCCTGAAAACCGCCATTTTGATATTTAATTATTTCTATATAGCATATGACACTCGCGTTATCAAGACGTATCTAACGATGTATGACGTTAAACACATAACCCTCCTATGGGCTTCAACACAATCGGGTGAAAAAGATACTACAGGACAAACGATATGTAGTTAAGAGGGCCATTTATTTTGTTTTTTAGAGATCATTTTGGATTTTTTTTCTATTGAGGAAACTACAAGTAATTGTTATTATAAATTGTACGATTTATAGATTATTCCTTAAATATCCTACATATTAATTGCATAATTAAAGTTTTAGTAATAACAATACAGCATGAACAAAGAATCAAACGAACGCATTTATTTTGTATTTGCCTCAGTGCCCCCGGCTCGAACGAAATTGATGGCAGGTACAAGTATGTTAATATTTTTTGAATAAATAAGTACATATATCTTAATATACCTATTATGTCTATAGAACAAATGTGTTTTTACTTCACGCATGTAACAACGTCCTAATCGTATCAGAGAAGGGTGAATAATCAAATTTTATACAAAAATGTATACATTGCGTGTTATTACAGTCGACTCATAAATCTTAACAACCTTTTTATTTATTCAAAAACACCATAATTTGATAGTCAATTTGAATTTAATGATGCAAGTTAATGAAAGGAGAGTATTTTTGGCACGAAATTATGTTATTTTTACGTCTGAAGGAGACTATACTGTACCTTATTTTATATACATATATTTTTTATTGTCCAAATAAGAGAGGTATATAGCTTGTATGCAGCCATCAGACATGATACTCACTACATGAATCTATACTAATATTATAAAGAGGTAAAGTTTGTGAGTTTGTGACGTTGTAGGGGGTAATCTCTGGATCTACTAAACCGATTTAGATAAAATTTGGTAAGAAAGGTAGTTTGAGACCCTGGGAAGGACAAAGGATAATTTTTATCCCGGAAATCATCCCTTAATGGGGAAATGGCGAGCGGAGCGAGGGTGAGTCGCTAGTACCTTATAATATTGCAAACTCAAGTTATAACTTTCAAACTCTCAAACTATCTCCTTACCCATATAAATCGGTCCAGTAGTTTTTGAGTTTATTCGTTACAAACATACAAAAATACAAATCTTTCCTCTTTATAATAATAGTGTATATTTAACATACTAATAAGGACTTCAACAGAAACTTTAAAGTTTAATGATAAACATAAATAAATTTCGTTTTCGCTAAGTTCTTTATATCAGATCAAACAAAAATAAAATGAGCAACCAAGCCCAAATTACTGTTTTACCATACCCATAGAGAACTTCAAACTGTCATTTATCACATACCTAGTCCCTTTCACTATAAGAAATATTAAAATTCGTGTGAGTCACTTGGAATGTTGGACGAGGTAGTTGCACGCTATAATGACTCACTGACATTGACCCGAGGAATCCCTCTCTTATCTTATTATCAAGATTATTATCAACTGAGATTAAACTGAGTGCACTAATCTTATTTTAATTGATAGAATACATAACGCTTGTACTAAAACGATTAGGTACTTAATATATTCTAACAATATGTATATTTTCTGTATGGAAATTTCGTGTACAATTAAAATACAATAAGGTTTTATTTAAGCTGTTGGCTTATTGTTTCCATTAATAACTGTAAATTCTTCTTAAATTTATTATATCAACAATTAATTATTCAATTCAATTTTCTTATTAATAGATTCAAGGCGTGGAGTTCAGCACAGATTAAGTACTTCCCTAATGCCACATACAATAGAGAAGACACGAATTAATTGTATTTAGTACATAGAAACAGTTAACAAGAAATATTAATAGCCTTCGTTCGATAAGCATTTTTACTAAGTAAAAATAAAGTACGCAATGTATTTGGAGCAAACTTAAAAAGTAATTACAAACTTGATTAATATTCAAAACATTCTAAAAAAACCTTACATGGCAAATATTTTTGTACACAAAATAAAGCACGCCATGAAACCGGTATAGAATGTAAGGTCACGTTTTATTGAACACGTGAAATAGTAGGTAAATGTTATTTTTATATGTAAAAAACCTAGTGTAGACCTACCTATTTAAAATGCGCCAATATTAAATTAGTTCCACTTAAGAATGATATAGATTGGATAAATTGGAAATAACTAGGGAGTCCTATTTTTTCTCAATCTTATTTTACTACTATGACACATATAAATGTGAAAGTTTGTGAGTATGGATGTTCGTTACTATTTTACATCAGAACGGCTGAACCGATCTGGATGAAATTTGGCACAGAGATTATAGTCTGGAATAACACATAGGCTATTTTTATTGCGGAAAAATGTGCGGTTCCCATTGGATAGGTTTGTTTTTGTTTTCCTAATCACTACTTATTCTCTCACGCTTATCCATTTTTACTATCAAATAGTTTTCTTAGATAAAAATTATGCTCTTGCATCCAATGGCCAATAAACTACCAATGTACCAATACATATACTACCTAACAATCAAACTACCACTTAGTTTAGTTCAAACAGTGTATTGTTTTTTAAAAAAAAGTATAGATAGAAGCAAACACGCAATTATATTTTTTTTTTACATTGAAAAAAAAACAATATAACGCATCTTTACATTTATAGTTCATACGTCAAGCGACGTTTCGGAGATCCGTTCCAACTTTTCCGAGAAGGATCTGACTAATGTGCCGTTGTATAACAGCTTAT